ACACACACACACACACACACACACACACACACACACACACACACACACACACACACACACACACACACACACACACACACACACACACATACATACCAACATGTGTCAGAAATTCGATCTAGTATATAGAAATATCATTAAATATACCCTACGATTACTCTATAAAAAAGCCGAAATGGAGCCCATCACAAAGCTTCCTCTATGAGGAAGCAAAATTGAGTCACTTTGGACGTTGATGGGTTGATAAAGATTATTCAATTATACAAGAATTATAATAACACTTTGAAATTTTAATTATTTTTCTTTTTATTTAAAAATTTATTACGTCTATTTACATCACTGTAGTTACTCATCTCAAGCACAATGACACAAAATATGATTTCAATGATATTTGCTTATGTCAGAGATATGCTAATATTGATTCTGTAAAATGATAAATACAAATCGTACTATGTAAGTTACAAGAAACATTTTTAGCGATAATTAAATATTATTAAACATTACAGCTTTACAAAAAATGTAATTATGCACTTTTACATATGAGTACATTGTGTAGAAATAAAATTAAGCTTCAAAATTTTCAGTCGAGGGTCAACGTTCCAAGAAAATCCATTTGACGACAACAACCGAATCATCTCGGACATGTACAGAGTAATGGGATAATCATTCAATTCGGATAATGTATAATCAGTGTTGAACGCAATATTCTTCCAAAAAATTGTCCAGACTCGCGCCTCGTTCCAAAAGTGACTTTGTCAGCTCGTAGTCCAAAAGCGACACCGCCAATTCCAGAGGTGTGAAACCTCGAGCATTTCGTCTCTCGATATTTGCTCCTTTAGCGACGAGCAAGTCGACGATCTCCTCGACTGGTCTTCTCAATTTCTCTTTCTTGTCGTCGTCTATATTGTCGGTACAGAACTCGTCACAGTCACACACACGCAGTCGCGCCAACGCATGAAGCGGAATCGACTTATCTTTTTTTCCAACTGATTTGGTTCCGCTCCGTTTTCCAACAGGACTTTCACGACGTCCACTCGGCGGTACTTGCAGGCGATGTGCAGCGGCGAGCACGTGTACGAGTCGACATCGACGTCCACGCCTTGGCTTATGAATCGTTGCACCGCCTTGATATCGCCACTAAAACAGGCTCCGTGTAAATAGGTGAATCCATGATCGTCTCTATGATTTTTCTCGGAATTTTTCAGAAAAAAATTAATGGGGATTTGATCTCTGGCTCATCGTAAGCATGATATTTGGTTGAATTTTTTTCCTGTTGGAGATCGTCTGCAGGATCGATGATATGATGATCGTTTCGTAAGTCGGATTCGTATTTGTAGTATAGATTGAACAAATAATGAATTGCCGACTTTCCTTCTATAAATATTCTATGAATATTGAGCTTCGTTCGTTGCTGTAGAAATTCAAGAACTTCCAAATGCTTCTCATCCAATACGATTTTGAAAAGTGTAGATAGACTTTCACGTTTTATCATATCTATGGGTGAAAATAATACCTTTTTACAAAACCGTGCGCACGTATGTCACCGATCTTGACGCGCTTTTGGTGTGTTATAGTACATGGTAAAAAGGTCCCAAAAAAAAACTTTTAGACCCCCTCCCCCCTCCTACCCCCCACTTCCGGTATAAATGTCCATTTTCGATCTATATTTTTTCTGAGGACATGAAGCAATTAAAAAATCTGAAAAAATTCACAAAAATACTTTTCAACAATCCAAACCACCTTGAATTTTTTCAGATTTTTTAAGTACTTCAGGCCTTCAGAAAAATTATTGAAAATTCTGAAAATCGAAATACGGCGGTATGAGCCGATATAGTAAACGGAAATTTTTTCAGTTTTTTATTGCACTGAAAAACATGACCTAAATTTTTTTCAGATTTTTTCAGATGACCTAACGCACTTTTTGAAGCAAAAAACCGCTTTTTTTGACGAAAATAATTTTTTTAGGACGATACGGAGCCTCGAAAAATCTGGAAAAAATTTTTTCTTGTTTTTTTCATCAAAATACATAACCTGAAATTTTTTCAGATTTTTTAATTGAAGGCGATAGTTTCTAGGGCCGAAAAATGCTATTTTTGACAAAAAAAAAGGTTCCTGGAACCCGAAGGTTCCAGTAAAAAAATTTGAAAAAAATTTTTTTGAATTCCTTGTCAAATTTTAATAAATTTTGACCGTTTCAAAAGTTCGATTGAAGCCTCCTAGCTCAATCTAGAGCATCAAAATGGTTTCATCATTTCTTAATATGTCTTCAGAAACGTCTTCAGAATTTTGCATCAATCTTTGTCCTGCTCTAGATTGAGCTAGGAGGCTTCAATCGAACTTTTGAAACGGTCAAAATTTATTAAAATTTGACAAGGAATAAAAAAAATTTTTTTCAAATTTTTTTACCGGAACTTTCGGGTTCCAGGAACCTTTTTTTGTTAAAAATAGCATTTTTCGGCCCTAGAAACTATCGCCTTCAATTAAAAAATCTGAAAAAATTTCAGGTTATGTATTTTGATGAAAAAAATAAGAAAAAATTTATTCCAGATTTTTCGAGGCTCCGTATCGTCCTAAAAAAATTATTTTCGTCAAAAAAAGCGGTTTTTTGCTTCAAAAAGTGCGTTAGGTCATCTGAAAAAATCTGAAAAAAATTTAGGTTATGTTTTTCAGTGCAATAAAAAACTGAAAAAATTTCCGTTTACTATATCGGCTCATACCGCCGTATTTCGATTTTCAGAATTTTCAATAATTTTTTCTGAAGGCCTGAAGTACTTAAAAAATCTGAAAAAATTCAAGGTGGTTTGGATTGTTGGAAAGTATTTTTGTGAATTTTTTCAGATTTTTTAATTGCTTCATGTCCTCAGAAAAAATATAGATCGAAAATGGACGTTTATACCGGAAGTGGGGGGTAGGAGGGGGGAGGGGGTCTAAAAATTTTTTTTTGGGACCTTTTCACTGTGTACTATAACATACCAAAAGCGCGTCAAGATCGGTGACATACGTGCGCACGGTTTTGTAAAAAAGTATTATTTTGACCCCTATACATTTCTTCATTTGTTTAAAATTCATTCGAAGGGTATTGCTTCTAAACCTGTTCAAGGTATCTCTTATGTTTCTCTCGTTGGAACAATTTTTTTTTAAATTATCTTTTGCCATGATTGATTTGGATTTTACGACTGAACACGTGGCCGAAACTAATGACGCACTTACACTTGAGGAAAGTAGTTAAAGATACGAAGATGTGAACAGTTTCACGAACTTGCAAAGACTGAATGTCTGTAATGAACACGGCTTATGATCAAGCATGTATTTTAGAGAAGGTAGATTCGATTTTTCCAACCAGTCAGCCTCCAACACATGTGTTGCGCGGTGCGCGCGCATACGATACTGCGCTATGGATTTTGGGCTAGTGCACGCTACGAAATTCAAATGAATTTTCGAGTGCTGACAGTAGTACCATGGCGTTGTTATAGCGATAATTGAATATGAATAGCGATTGAAGCTGATATAGTGTGATATCCGAGTCAACGAATATCATATAGTTTATGATTTGGGTTCTTTTTTCACAGAAATGGAATTTCGCTGAGTTAAAAAATTATGGTTGTTTAAAAATTGTAAATAAAGGCCACGTAAGCGGCCACCGTACTCATTGAACGAAATCACAATTAATCGTAAAATATCTACTACAGCATAAATCGAAAAATCAGTTTCATTAAAATCGATTAAACAAATTGAATTCACAATTGTAAATGAATAATTCTAAAAATCAACTATATAAGAACAGCTGTAAGATGTGTAACGTCTTTATGTACAGGTAAACATTTAAGGGCTCTCTATACACACTCAGTCGGTAACGCTAGGCTACCATCCTATTTATGCTAAATTTGAAAAATTGGAAATGTTATTCGCAAATAATCGAGTTGACGCCCATTTCTAATACACTCATTAACATTGTGGTCGAGTTTTATCCAATTCCATGCATTATTCAAGGAGAAAAACGAAAACTATGAATAATCATGATCAATGTTATTTAATAGGACCACAATGTTAATGAGTGTATTAGAAATGTGCGTCAACTCGATTATTTGCGAATAACATTTCCAATTTTTCAGACTGAACATAAATATAACTAGGTAGCTGGTGTTACCGACTGAGCATTTCACATCGTGTATAGACAGGGTTGTGAAAAAGCCGCGGTGGGAGATGGCGCTTCGAGCGATTTCGCCGTCGGCGGCAATAGACCGTCACCTATGTAACCCAAGTAACTCAAACTGTAACACCCACATTTACCCTAAGTACTCATTCGAAGTTTAACATTTTTCTACAAGAAGGTATTTTAAAGTTATGCATGATTTTCATTTTCGAACAAAGAGTTTCGTGCAAGTGGTTCGAGTTTTTTGCAAGTGGTATATTGTACTGGTAGGTTTACCCTGTAGTAAATTTTTATAAACTTTTATAAACTTTTCTACATACAAGTCCAAAATTCGACCTTTGATTCAAATCTATAATACTTATGAAAAAAAAGCTAGCATCGCACTCACCAGCTGGGCGATCTTTTCACCCTGATTGTCGAGATAGTACTGCACGTGTCTCAGCTGGCCGAGCGACTCGTTGACCTGCCTCGAGAGCGGCGTCAGGTGCACGTCCAACGCCGCCAACTGATACACCAGCTCGTCCTGCATCTTCATCAGCGGCTTGACGCGCCTCGCCAGCAGATCGCGCATCCTCGCCGCCAGGGTCTGGAGATTTCGCGCCTGGCGCCGATCGCCCAGCTGACGCGCCACGCTCTCCAGCTGCTCCGAGAGCGAGGTGAGGTCCTTGTTGAGCACGGGCCCCTGCACCATGAGCCGGTGCTCGGTGAGATTGGCCCCGCAGGCGTAGAGCAGATTCTGCAGTCGGTCGCGCAGCTGGGGGGACACGACGCGCATCTGGCTGAGATCGACCTTGAGCTTGGCGAAGGCCCGACTGAGGCCCTGCCACTGCCAGTGGGCCGTCACCTGGTCGAGCTTGAAGTTGTTGCTGTTCGAACCGTCGCTGCTGCTACTCGAGGACGGATACTCGGCGTCGCTGTCCTGACACTTCCTGCGCACACAAAGCTTCGTTTAATTGAGAGCCGATGCTGTAAGTATATAAAGTGCGGGCAAATCCGTAGTGTAAAACTTAGGATTGAAATTTGAAAATGAATTTACGACTCTGAAACTTTTGAATCTTTTTCAAATACCAGCGTAATTCAATTATGATATATTACAAAATATGAAATCTTTAACTTTTTTCAATCATACAAATATTTCCTGTTATTAGATTTTTATGTCAACCACATATTCTATTAGAAATCGTATCGACGAGTGTATATATGAGAATTACTTTCAAAATATGATATTTTTATCTCAAGCTCGCGCTAAATCGAACTAAATTAAACTAAATTAATTTAATTAAGTACTTGATATATTAAAATGAGCATAACATTCAGTGACATGTTGAAATCGTCGCTCCAGCGCAGGAAGGTATCGCTCCCAATTCTGCAACATTCAAAGGATACTTACTCGTGCGCAGAGGCAAAAAGGTAGCTTATTCGAGCGCAGCACCAATACTGTACCTTGTTCAAACGCTGTGTCAAGAATGTTTTGGCTCGCTGAACTTAGGTTGGCAACGTAGCCGTATATCAGAAAATTTTGTTTTAACATCAAACATTCAACATTTAATTCAAAGTTATGCAAAGACGATCACTTCTAGTTTCCTCTCAGAACTTACAAAATTCTCAATGAGTGGTAAATTGAGTCGATATCACGGTGAGATTTACTTTTTTGCTTGCATTACAAATAGATGAAAATCTTTACAGCAGTTAACGTGTTTTTTTTCTCTTTTTTGCTCAAACACAGAACAAAATTTTATCATATATGACTGCGTTGCCAACCTAAATTCAGCTAGCGAAAATTTCTTGCCACTTCATTTGAACAAGTTACTGTTTTCATGGCACTGCTCTCGAATAAGCTACCTTTTTGCCTCTGTGGGCGAGTAAGTATGCTTTATGCTGCAGAATTGGAAGAGATACCTTACTGCGCTGGGGCGACGAAATATAAATATTCTAAGACTATTTTAAGTGTTAAAACATGATTAATTTAAAACGGAGCTTAACGAGTCAAAATAACTTGAAAAAACGAAAATCACGAAATCCAAACGTTTTTTATCCGAGCTTTCGTTTGCAAAACTTTTTAAAAAGCTTCGTGAAGAACTACTGACTGATGAAGCTTTGTAATGGGCCTCAAAGTGTAATGCTCTGTATAGACAACAATAAATGTTGAAAAACGTGCAAAAACGTTCGAAAAAGACTGTTTTTGTCAATTTTACGTATTATGGGCCGGTTTTCCAAATTTATAGTTATCTACAATGCGTTACACTTTTTGGATACCTGACACTTTAAAACTGTTTTAGTGCACATCGATATAAAATTTTGCGAGGAATCGAACGGCGCAATTATTTTTCCTGTAACCTGCTTAAATCGCGAGATATGAACAAAAAACACTTCAATTTCCGATTTTCACGACTTTTCCGGAGTCTAAGGTGCAAAATGATTCGATATTCGGATTCCTCGTCAAATTTTACGAAAAATCATATGTTGTCATATTTCACTCGTGGATAATTCAAACGACTATGATAAGTTTAAACGAGATTGTTCCATTTCCGAGCGTACGCCGCCAAATTGATTTACTAAAACAAATGAAACGAAACAAACGGAGCACTCGGATTATGGTCGGCTATGTTTCTGTATGCATGTTGAAACTCGGATTATAATGTATAAGACCCATCTTTATGCGCAGTAAACTCTCGACTGAAAATTTCATTGATGCGTAGAAAAAGTTTTTCAAAGGGTTAATGATATAAAAAGTACCAATATAAAATTAATTCAACTTTATTTTAAAGCTCATTCATTCGAATGATATATGATACAAAATTTCAAAATAGCAGTCATGAAGAAAAGGTTACAAATACGCAATAAATTATCGTTACATTTTTCGACGCACTTTCATTATCGTTACTATTTGACTCTTCGCCTTTTTCGAGCATTTGCTATTACATTTATTTTACCGCTCTCATCAGTTTGACCTGCAGCCGCCAAGCAAATATGATAAAAATCTTTGTTCCTCAGATTCTCAAGAATCATTTCGCAGCACTCGATCGGCAGCCGATAGTGTATCAGCTGCCGAAAAGGATCCAGTGCCGAAAACCTGAAAAATTTTCTCGTCATCGTCTCGCACAGACGCACTACGCAAGGCTTTCTATTCCTGACCGAGATACTGCACATAGCTTTCGAGCGCGCGAGCTTGAAGTAGTCCGAATGCGCGAGTAGTAGTTTTGACGCCTCTGCGGGTCGAAGCTTGAGCAGGTCGTAGAACGACAAGTCCGGTTTTACCATTGTCTCTCTCGCTTCTTTTGAAAACTTCTCGTCGTCAAACCAACGTTCGTCAAAATCCTCCATCTTCTCGAACAAATTGTACTTGTCGAATAATTTCATAATTATCAGGGCGTCGCTTTGGCTCAGCTCGTATCCTCCTTTCTCTAGGCACTCGACCACGGCCAGATAGTCGGATGTCAATCCCAATTTTTGTCGATAATCCTTGAAGGACTTGAAGCGCGCGTTGAACTGACTCAAAGTGGGAAAAACGAACCTCGACAGATCGGAGTCGTGATTCAAGAGTACATCGACGATATTCGGCAAGAGATTCGCCACGGCTAATTGCAGAGGTGTCGATCCTCTCGCATTGACCGACTGGGGATCGGCGCCGCGTTCCAACAGCACCTGGACGATCTGCTCTTCATAACATGGTTTCAACGCATCGTCATTTGTTGTTTCAGTGGCATCTACGATATTACCCAAAATATCGTTCTGAACATTATCGTGGTTGATTGGTACATGATGATCACGAAAAAAGATGTGCATAAATTCGTTGAGCTCAAGTTGGTCTTGGGCGTCATTTTGCAGTATCCACAGCGGACGATTGGCTTCGTCAGCTTGGATCGCCGTCGCATTCACGTCGTAGCTGCGAACATCGACTCTCCGGCAAATAATGTGCAGAGAAGTCTCTCCTTTATTGTTGGCCAAATTCAGATCGACGCCTCGTCTCAGCAGCCAATCGATTACCTTCTTGTGACTCTTTGCCAAAGCCAAGTGCAACGGTGTGTTACCCGCCTTGTCTGTAACGTTGACGTTGCCCAGCGGACTTTTGTCGACGCTGAACTCGAAAATCGTCCTCAACAAGCCGTTGCGGCGCCATCTCTCCTTTATTACCTGCGGTGTCGTTCCGTCGGGATTGGTCAAGTGGCAGCTTATCATCCGCAGCTCTCGCCTCAGTGCCAAGTCCAGCGGTGTACTTCGTTCCTCGTTCCGGGCATCGTCGACCTCCTCCTGTTTTTTCTCGATGCGCGCGTCTAACGCCTCCTCGACGCCTTCGTCGATATTCTCCATGTCGGAGATGACGTGCAGAGGAGTCTCTCCTTTATCGTTGGCCAAATAAGGATCGGCGCCTTTGCTCAGTAGCATCTGGACGGCCACGGTTCTCTGGTGTTTCAGTGCCACGTGTAGCGGTGAGTCGCCGGTTTTTTTCTCGACGCAATTGGGATCGATACGGCCGAGCTCGAGGAATTTCTTCGCGATGTCAGCGAAGCCGTACTGGCACGCCACGTGCAGGTGGGTGAGGCCGGTCTCCTCGTCGACGTAATTCAACCGGAAGTCGTTGTAAATTTTAAAAAGAATCTTGATGGTGTGACGATTTTGAGTGACTCTGGACGCTCGGTGTAGCGGACTGGTGCGATTCAACAGTGGCTTTCCGAGCTCGTCGAATCGGGGCTGATGTCTGTAGCCGCAGCGAGCTACGAACTCGATAAATTCTTCTCCTGCATTACCGTTGAACAATTTTCCATCACTCTTGAAATTTAAAGAATCCAAGAGAAGACGTTCTATCTCTTCCTCTCGAAAGATGTCCCGGAGGTTTGGTAATCCGCCGTACCAAGAAAAGAACAAAGGATAAAGTCGGATAAGAAATCGACGACGCTCCGTTATCACCTTCCAATCGACACTTGCTCGTAAGGCCTTCAATTTTTCAAATTTTTCGCGATCATAAAATATAAATGTATACTGAGACATTGTTTCACTCGCACACGCACACGACTCAAAGTCACTTATAATTTCAAATACTTCAACTAAAATCACTCGACACACTTTTTTTCTCTTGCGCCACGATATATATCGTGTCTGTATGAATGAACACGTCGACACACTCGCACACGTACAAGAAATGAATGAACACGAGGTCGAGGCTCCAAAAGTAATTCCGCTCTTTCTCTTTTTATTGGGCGGAGACAAACTAGCGGTTGCGCTGCAGCCATGGTGACCTGACAATTAAGGAAGCTCGAGTGCGTGTGGGTGTTCTACACTCGCGCTTTCTCTTTACGCAGTGTGAATGGTGCATGACGCAAGCGTGACGCTATGTGGAATTCAAGTTTCAACTCTTTAACTTGAAATAACTTTTTAAATATGTCGTTGACCTAAGTTTTTGTGTTTGCCATTGGAAAGCATATGAATTTTTCTTTTCAATGAAATAATAAAATTTTTAAATTCTCAAGTGATATGATCGAGAGGTACAGTTAACGGACAGTAACTTTATTTGACGGCTTTAGGAGTCGCCTGTAAGCGACTGTGTGTGGCGCCGGCTTACAACTTTAAATCTAGGTCCCGAAAGCACTCAAAGGCATCTTCAGGAAAAAAAATCAGAGTTTTAAAGTTTAAATTGACATAATACAGTTTTGTTAAGACAACGAAATTCAATATTTGCTCAAAATATTGAAAAAACTCAAAGAAACGCTAATTTTTTGCCTTTCTTCCAAAAATTTGAACGTTATATTCGTGTAAACAAATTTTTTTTGGCATTTTAAACGGTAGAAGGGTAAAGTTTCTTCAATGTAAAACGAATAAAATTATAAAAAAAAATTTAGAATATTTTTAAAACGTTCTTATAGTACAATATTGAGTATAACATGGTTATATGGAGAAAAACAGGTTTTTTTGAAATATATATATCGGCGAATGATTCGCCCATATATTGCAAATATAAATCGCCAATATATTGCACATATATCGCCAATAGAAACGATTTTTAAGCGGGGACTTTTTTCGAGTAAACTCGCACAGCCCTACTTATGAGTGCATATGCCTACATGTTCTTGTAGAAATAGTTTTGTCGAAAAACTTCTGTCCCTTCACTTGCAATTAGTTAATTAATACGTTTTTACTTTTATATTTGACATTAATTGGGCAACTAAGACTCTCCAAGCCCTCACTTTAGACAGCCGTATACACGGAAAAAAATATTTCTCGAAAGAGCATGCCGCTTTGTCAATTGCTAAGACTGCTTAACATTTTCGAGTGCACGATCGCGCGACATTTCTAGAAAGCTGCATGTAGTTATTTTTTCATTAGACTGTAGGCTCCGCCCCAATGCTCAAAACGATTAGATGTATAGTCAGTAGTTCATGAGAGAAGTCAGTATTCATTACGACGCCGCAGTGGAAGCGGTGAAAGGAAGAAAATAATCTCTCATAGCTTCGCCTTCGTTTTTCACTCTTCTTGATCTTAGTGCAAGAACACAGTGCATGTACAAGTCACGACGCACGTTGCAGTGTAAGCAGCTAGGAAAATCACATTTACCGCAGCCACGTGATTAAATTTTAAGCCAGTGTGTTGTGTGCGAGTGCCTATAACATCATATTCGTTAATAGCAGTATCGCAAAGGAAATTAATTGCAACACAATAAGGATGGACAATTTAAGGTACTTACGAGACAATATCGATTGGGAGGTCCAAGCAGAGCGACATGAGTTGTTCGATGAATTTTATCGCTTGCTCAACGATTGGGACGATCGACTTTTTGCCCTTCAGAGAATTTTTCGGCCCGAACAACTAGAAATTCTTCTCTCGGATACTATAGATCGCTGGGATATAGACCAAGAAGAGAACCAGTCAGCACGATTCATCAGGTTCCTGGTCGAGACCGGCTACAAAGACAAGCCCAAAATCGATAAAGACGGCAAGTTGATGTTGCATCGTCGCACAGCACTGTTTTGTGCATTTTGCAAGGAAATTTATCCCTTCGGTCGTGAGCTCTTTAAAATTTACGATCGATTTGATATCAATTACATCGACGAGGAGTCCGGCTACACGCATTTCCACGTGGCCTGCGAGTGGGGCTGCATAGACGTCGTCGAGAAATTCCTCGAGTTCGGCCAGGATCCCAATATCCTCGACACAGAGACAGGCACTTCACCGCTACACGCGGCACTGATGTTCGATCACGTGGATCCAGAGATAGTCGAAATATTGCTGAGACACGGCGCTGATCCGAATGTGGCCAACAAGAAAGGACTCACAGCTGTGCACTTCATCAGCATGGGTCCCGAAGATAGCGACTTGATGCAGATGTTGATCGATCTCACCGACTACAAACATCAGCCGGTGCGTATCAACCTGCAAGATGAGAGCGGCTTGACAGCTCTGGAATATGCCGTGGCCCGCAACCTCAAAAATGTGACCGAAATACTGCTGAAAAATGGCGCAGAACCGAATTACATCGATGAGACTGGATCCACACCTCTACACAGGGTTTGCTTGGAAAACAACGACGTCGAATTGGCGAAGATGCTGCTCAAGTTCGGTGCGAGGATCGATGTCCAGAACCAAGACGGCTACACACCATTGCATCATGCTGTGTATAGAGGCAACAAGTCATTGGTCGAGTTCCTGCTAAGAAATGGCGCCGACCCGAATAAAGCCAAAAACGACGGATCTACTGCTCTGCACATAATTTGCGATAGCGAGTCTGATGATGCTGCTGCATTTTTGGAGACATTTTTCAAGATCTGTAAAGACACACGTCAAAAGTTACAATGCGAGGCTCAAGACAATAAGGGCCTAACACCCCTTCAATTTGCTGTGACTAATGCCAGACCCAATATGGTCGATGTACTCTTAAATCATGGGGCCGATCTGTCCTGCTTCGTTTTTCCTACTGCAAAACAATTCGATGATGTGAATTTATATCGAATATTCGATTGGGAGGATAAATTGAAAATAGCGTCGGGTCTGCTGATTATCGTGGAACGCCTAGAGAAGAGAGGATACGAGCTGGACCGAAGCGACGCCCTGAAAATCATGGAATTTTTAACCGAGAACGACCTGCTTGCATCGCCGAATGTCGAAGAATCTTGGTACGACGACGAAAAGTTCGAGATCGAGGCGAAGAAAATCATGTTCAATCCGAGTCTGTCGCTCTACGACCTTACCCGATTACAATACCAAGAGGCCTCGAAACAACTCACGTACGAGGACTACTTGGAGTTGTGGCGCTCGAAAAAATTGTGGGACCTCCCCTCGGAGTTCAGAGACGATTGTGCCAAGCATCTGCGCGAGAAATTTACGAGAAGATTTTTCCGTAGTTGGGCACTGTATCCTTTTTGGGAGAAAATCTTACACTACCGGCTGCCAATTCTCTGCTGTGATATGATTATGGAATGGTTAACGAACAAAGATCTATTCAATATTTGCTTAGCGGCTGCAAAGTAATGACAATGAGCAGATATGTTCAATATTTTTTATGTATAAAATTATTTAATGTTGTACATTTTTCATGTCTTTTAAATAAATGAATTTAAAAATGATTTTCGATATTTTTTAATGATAAGCACATACGATTATTTGAAGTAACGTATATAATTTTTTTTCATCCATGTCCCATACTACATATAATGTATACTGTCGTATGAATTAATCATATTATTATAGGTTTCGTAGTTGTTATCAGGCTTGAGTCCGAGCGTGAAACGCGCTCGAGCCTCGTCGAGCTAGTTTCGACATTATCGCTTAGTGCGATTCACACTCATCTCAATGTGACTCTCCAAAAATCCAGCCACAATTCAGTACTCGGTCTCTTTTTAAAAGAATTAAATGGTATAGTCGAGTAAAATACTATTCAATAAGTGTCACTTTTATTTCACAAAGTTTTTTTAAAATAAACAATGAAAATTCAAAACACGGGTTATTCATACTCGCGTCTACTCATAAAAGGATAGTACCCGTCAAATTTGGCTGAAGGCCTTCGAGGATTTGAAAAAAGACATGTTTAAGATGAAGCTGATGAACTAAGAAGGCTCGGTAAACAGAGTTTGAAAATTAAAAATAGGATGAGTTGGTGGAAATGTAGGAGCTGATGGCTCGTCGCTAAGGATGGCTAAGAACAAACTACAAAAGAAGAAGGAATGCAATTGCAGCGACGTCATTCATTAGTTTTTCTGGAAAACAGGATCGAAATTTTTCATTTTTTGTTCTCATCTCATTTCAAAATATCAAATATATTTAGGTCAACAAAAATAGTAGCAGTGACGGCTGAGGCATCGCCTTAAGAGTAAAAATAACAATTTTTCTGTACACATGTACAAAAATAAGCGAATTCTACATACTCGTTCTACGCTACGCCTTTACTTGACTAGTAGCAGCCACAGCCATTTTTCTATATAAACATCAAACTTCAAACTACGCTCATAACTTTTTGATAAGCTTGATCGAAAAACTAAACAGTACACAGTACAAAGAATAAGTTTTGTTGAACATAATCGCTAATTTTATTCACTCTATTAACATAAATATTTCACTATACAATCACTATAGATAAACATTCAACTTCAAATTATACATCACTTTTCAACAAACTCGACTAAAAAACTAAATTAAATTTATTACACTGAATGAAGCTCTGGTACATAATCTGACACATAATCTTCTGCTGAAGTATATCTCGGTAACTTGGTTGTATATCTTTTGAACTAATTTAAAATTTGCATTCTGAACAAAGTGTAAAAAAAAGGAAGAAAATTTTCCATCATACATTCAAATCGAAAGACAATTAATTAAAAAAAAATTAAGGTGTAAACAGATCATTAAGTTACTTCTAGAAATCATGTATCATTATTTGTAATAATATATCATAGAAAAAAATCATTCTCTATCTCTTGATTATTTTCGAAGATAAGTTATCAGATCGGTCTGTCGAAGTTCGTTATAATCGAGTTTCAATGTACATTATAACATCTGTTCTTGATTGAGCCTCTCCTATTTGTTTATCCTGAAATCATTCTTATACGCCGTTAGCACTTGCAGCCGTGGCGTATCTTTGGTTGGACAATTTAGAAAATTTATGCAAAATTAACAGGGGCAAGCAAATAAGCACGAGTGCCAAGATTACGATTCTAGCAAAGACCCTCGTCATTTCCAATAAAGATTCGAAAAAATCATTCATAGGGGGCAATTGGTACGAAATTATTAAGTACGCAAGTACGACGATCAAAAGCAGTCCGACCTGTTTCAATGGTAAAAAGCAATTTTTAGAATAATTTTGCAACATCAGAAAAAAAAATTCTTCTCTCGTTTATATCATTTACCACAAGTACGGATTCGCCGATCAATTTCAAAAAATCTTCAAGTCTGTTCCCGATCGTCGCCTCTCCGTCGTCGCGGGACACGGATGTCGGTAAGGGTTCGACTGCAGCTGTCGATGCGAGTGTCGTCGACGCGACCACAGTCGGCACGGGGATCGAATGGATGCCAGTTGCCTCCTCGTAAGTCGGCAACTGCACATCCGATCCGACCACATCGCTGTAACGTGGCGCTCGATCCCGATGAACTCTATGCTGCTGCTGCTGATCGATGATGCTACCACTGGCCATTTGAGGGTAGAGTCGTAACTTGATACGAAAAAGCGTGTACAACACACTACGGTCGCTTTCACTGCTTTCACTATTATTGGTGTCGCTGAAGCAGCGGCGGTAAGTCGTTTGATTGCCGTATACGCCATAAGTCGGTGGATAAGAAATTCAAAAAATCTAATTGTAGTGGGAGTTGATTCTTATACTTGTGTGGAGTTTAACGTCATGCATCGACTTATAAGTGTGCCATTTTGAGTCCTACAGTTGCGGCTCCCTATCGAGATAATGTTCACATGAAAAATATGGTAAAGAATATGCATGGATATGAAGAGGAGTGACAAAAACATCGCTATACCATGATTTTTAGTGCTTGTGGCCAAATACAATTGGAGCAGAATTAAAATGATCTGTTTTGAGATATAAAGCAATTGTTAGAATAATTTTGAAAAAAAATAAATAAATAATCATCGATCTCTCGTTAATTTTGTTTACCAATACAACCCCAAGTCCCCGAAGGATCCATTTATTCCGAACTGTGACTTCGCCCACGGGTGTCACGGGTCCGCCGACCGGGTGATAATCGACGTGACCGCCGTAATCGTCAAAATCGCCACAATCGATAGCGCAATCGCCACCGCAATCACCACCGTCCACCATTTGTGTATAGGCGAGAAAAAACTTGGGCCCTAGTTTACGAGCTGCGTGTCACTAATAAACTGGAAACTGCCTTTTGCTCGAGCTGCTTCTACCGCTGCTTTCGTTGCTTGACTGCCGTATATATACGTCATCGTTTGGTACTTGGTAGTAGCTAGACAACTTTGAAAATAGATGTAGTGGGAGTCAATTCCGTATGCACGCCTGCGAACCTTTGTACTTGACGGGTCGCGCGATCATTACCGGTCGGTGCCGCTTCGAGTCGCAGAGTCGCGAGCGAGAAAAGGGGGTAGCGAGTTTTATCTATTAATATATATGTGTGGGTACGAGAAATCATCGATTTCACCCTAGAGTGAGTTGTATTGTGTACATCGTCGAAAATCCAAAAATCAATGAGGGTATGAAGCAATGAAGATACTCGAGTCTATTCAATTATTTTTTTTTTTAGCATGATTTCGAGATTTTTTTACTAGAGATTTGGTGGAGATGAGTTTACGAAGTATAATATCCCACGTAAAAAAATCAATGTCAATGTTGGCAAACATGGGCCATATTTATGTGCTGCTCAGTGCCGCGTGTATACTACCGAGATAATGTACACATTGAGCGAATTCAGTATGCAAATCAGCTGAAGGAATTTAGAACGTCGTAATCTCTGCTGAACTTCTTAATTTTTGCATGTATAAGGAAGACTTTTTTTATATTAACCAAAAAGCTTGCTTTTTTTGTTAGCTTTCGAAGCGATTTGTTCCGTATAGTTTTAGGCCTCTAAAACATTTCGCATCCACCTATTTCATTGTAAAATTTAATGTCCTTTCAGAAACTGAGCTCAAAATTTTGATTTTTTGCGTAATAAAAAAGTTATAGCTACTTAAACAAAAAAAAAAAACGTAAAAATTTTGGCAAAAAATCAATTTCTCGATATTTTTAGCCATGTTATCGCTAAGGCATAACGATATAAACATGATCAGAGGTGACCATGATTATCAAAGTATCTCAGGGAATTTTTATAGAATTTTCAAAGCCATTTTTGAACCGTTGGGCATTAAAAATAGTATACAGACCTAAGCTACTAAATAAGCTCAATAGGCGTGTTTATCGGATAACTGTGCGAACCCTAAAATTTTTATTTTTCCGCGGTCTATGAGGGCAACAATAAACTATTACATTAGCTATGAGCCCATTTATAACGTGCAAATTAGCAAAACGTGAAACCCCTTTGTAAATATTATAATTAACGACGAAGTGAAAGTTAATTTTAGGAACCTAGTTTGTGTTTTCATTTGAGAAATATTTTATTTCAATTGCCTAATTTTTAATGTATTTCGTCTTTATATGTATGGATTTTCTGTTTTTTTTTGTCAGTACACAAAAAACGACAACGATTTCAAGTATATCTAATAAGATTAGTCTAAAACCGAAATTTTTTACACTATCTCTACAACGATGTTTTCCTGATAAACGTGGAGTTATAAAGTTTGGCACAACCGTACCAGTCTCTTCTTGACGTTTTTGTACTCATTGAAATTAGTCATAACTCGACATTTTGTACACTAGCTACTAGATCATGTTCGCCTGATAAGCATGGAACTGTAAAGTGTGCTGCAATGTCAACAATCTCTTCTTGGTGTTTTTACGTATACTCATTGAGATTGATCAAAACTTGAAATTTGATGAAATTCTTTTACAATGTTGCTTGCCTGATAAATGTGGAGTGTAAAACGATCCACATTCCGTTTGAGCTATTCATATAAACAATAAATTATTATTAACAACTTGATTATTATCTACCGTACTGCATATTTGTAATTATGGGGAAAAACGGTTCACTCATTATAAGCTACAAGCTTGTTCACCTGTTTTCTTAAAGATTGATATGTTCAGCGTTTTGATTGAAAAATAATCTGTGTTAATAATAAAGCAAACTATTACAAAAAAAGTATTATCAGCATGGGTATGACTGTAAAGTCTTTTAATTATGTAAAAAAAATAAGCTCGAATAAAAATATTCTAAAATTAATTCAAAATATTTCGAAAATCAACATTCCAGAAATTACTACCAGTATTCGTCTCTAGCCTCAAATTTTTCAGTAAGTTGACTTGATGGAGTGGTGGTTTCTGTGAATTTCATGGACTTTTTTGGTGTCAACTCAAATTTGATGAAGTCTCATGTTTAATTTTCACACTTATTGGGTATCTTTACAAACTTCGTGTACGGTTTTTCGGTGTCTGATGAAATTAGATTGAATTCCAAATTTTTTCTCGCACTGTTCACATTCAAAATCTTTACGACCTTCGTGGACTGTCCTTTGATGTTTGAGCAAATCTGATTTTTGTCCAAATTTTTGTTCGCAAATATCACATACATCATTTTTACGACTTTCATGGACTGTTCTTTGGTGAAGCAACAAAGCCGGATTTCGTGCAAATTTTCTCCCGCACAGTTCACATGTAAAATCTTTGCGATTTTCGTGAACTATTTTTTGGTGGGTGAGCAAATTACATTTTAATCCAAATTTCTGCTCGCATTTGTCGCATGCGAAATCTTTGCGACCTTCGTGAACTGTCTTTTGGTGTCTTGTTAATTTCCCTTTTTCTCCAAATTTCTTCTCGCACTTGTCGCATGCATAATCTTTGAGTCCTTCGTGTAACGTTTTTTGGTGGTTGAGTAAATGCTGTTTTTCTCCAAATTTCTTCTCGCACTGTTCACATTCAAAATCTTTACGACCTTCATGGACTGTCCTTTGATGTTTGAGCAAATCTGATTTTTGTTCAAATTTTTGCTTGCAAATGTCACACACGTAATCTTTGCAACCTTCATGGACTGTTCTTTGGTGAAGCAACAAAGCCGGATTTCGTGCAAATTTTCTCCCTCACAGTTCACATGTAAAATCTTTGCGATTTTCGTGAACTATTTTTTGGTGGGTGAGCAAATTACATTTTATTCCAAATTTCTGCTCGCATTTGTCGCATGCAAAATCTTTGCGGCCCTCATGAACTGTCTTTTGGTGACTTGTTAATGTCGCTTTCTCTCCAAATTTCTTCTGGCAATTATCACATGCGAAATCCTTCCGACCTCCATGTACGACCTTTTGGTGTCTGATCAAATTAGATTTCAATCCGAATTTTTTCTCACATTTGTCACATGCGTAATCTTTCAGACCCTTGTGGATTGTCTTTAGATAAGTGAGCAAAGACCATTTTTCTGTAAATTTCTTCTCGCACCTGTAGCATGCATAATCTTTGCGACGCTCGTGTTCTATCGTTTTGTGTCGAATCAATTTTAATTCACACTTGTCGTGAACTGTCTTTATGTGCAAGAGCAAACTTCGTCTATTTGCAAATCTCTTCGCGCACATTTCACATAAGTAATCTTTGAAAACTTCGTGAAATATTTTTTTGTGCTTGAGTAAAATTGATTTATTTTCAAATTTCCTCTCGCACTTGTTGCACGTAAAATTTTCGCGATCTTTATGTACTATTTTTTGGTGTGTCAACAAACTTGATTTTTTTACAAATTTTTTCTCGCACTGGTCGCATGCATAACCTTTGCAGTTTTTGTGTTCTGATATTTGGTGTCTACTCAAATGACTTCGAAACTCAAATTTAATTTCGCACTTGTTACATGCATAAATTTTTCGTTCTTTGCACGGAGAGAAGAAATATAGTAATAATTTCTTTAAATTTTGGAAAAATTACTATAGGTCTTAATAAAAGTGTGACATCTTTGACGTTCGGGTGAAAAGTTGCTATAAAATGTATAAAAATTATAAGAAATAAAATAAAAATTGAGAGAAATATAGTAAAAATTACAAAGGATTTTAGTAAAATTTTCCCTAACCTCAAAGATGTCACACTTTTATTAAGACCTATAGCAATTTTTACTATAAATTTTTCTCCGTGTGTGAATCTTATCTTGATGTGTTATCATGTTGGATTCTAGTATAAATGCCTCCTGGCAAATATCACAAACGTATTGTTTGTTGTCTGAAACAATTACAATTTTGTATTCACGTGAATTATTTTCCGAGGAAACTTCCTCGGATTCCTTCTCATTTTTATTCGTTTTAGTAGCTGAACTATACAACTGGTCTTCAATTTTGTGCTACAGAAATTGAATTAATAAAATCTTTCCGTATCGTGGCTTGTTTCATCGGGGAACACAACAATCAAACTAATTTGTTTTTACTATAAACTCGATTACTATGTCAAGAGACGATGCCAGAATTGTTTATGATCATATTGTTTTGTTTACAATTAAATTTGAGATTGTACGATATTTGAAACAGTTTGAAATTTTAACTTTGCGACGATTTCTTTGAGGAATTTCCGATTCTTATCATACTAACAAGGTGAATATTTTTGGGCGTCTTATAGTACATAATAATGAAGTCTCTTAAAGTCCGTCTGATCTTAAAAGCTTTGAAAAAAGTAAAGAAAATAACGAAGTTTTAAATACTATTTTAATGTTAAAAAGTACCATGTATTAGCCCAACTTCCCGAAAAATACTTTTACTTCAACTTTTTCATATCCTAAATACACTTCTTTAATCGATAAGCACTTTATCTCGATTAGTAATATTCATTCGCACACCACAATGAATGGGTATAATATGTCAATCGAAATACACGAGTTCCGCAGATTTGCCCACATAAAATGCAACGAGAAGGTATATTATAAAAAAAACTCACTCGAATAGGTCCTTGAGCGGCACGCCGACGCGACGGCCGAGCAGCGCTCTGGTCTCCAGTACGGCCTCGAGGGTCCTGTACTGCGGGTCCTCGAGCGGCCGACAGATCAGCATCTCCGCGTGGGCGGCTATCGTCAGGGCGCCGATCAGCACCAGCCACAGGCCGATCGACACGAAGATGCTCAGGAAGACGAACCTATACGTGCGTGTGTATATTATTATGCGCTGTCACTTTTTTACCCATCTAAAATATTTTATTTTATTATAATTATCAAATGACTTGCCACAAGAGGCTGGTTTTCACGCGATGCTCGCCGGAGCTGCATCGACAGCACAGCGCCCCCAGGAGAATGATCCAGATCAGCAGTACGCACATCGTCGTACCTGCAATGCAAGATCATCAAGCATTCACTGGATGGGTAAATAAGTTTTTTCTTTTTCATAAACTTACCGAAACCTACGAACCATCTGACGTACTCGAAGCTGTTGACGTAGGGCATCAGCCGATCGGCGAGTCGGCGCACGTTGTCGAGCTGATTGGAGACGTCGTGGCCGCCCGCCTCGATGCCGCGCGAGTCGTCCGACACCTTGGCCCTGGCCGTGTTCACCTCGCGTCTGATCACTGCGACACGTCAGAAGAAAAAAAAGAGTACGTACAAATAACCGAATAAATAGATAAATAAATGAAGCATGCGATTGTATACACACGTATAGATGCTCGTGCGTTAACGTGCCAGCCGTATAATGTATATCCAGATATGGATTTTGCATTAGTCGATCTGTCTTTTTATCAGGAAAAAGCGCGAGAGAGTGTAAAGTGCGCAAAGCCCGCGCGCGGGAGGATTTATGGTTCGCCAGCGTATATGTATAACGATAAGTTCTTCTACGTTCGCGGCGTGCTCGCTGGCGTGGCGTGAAAGATGTTTATGCTGAGAAAAGAGAGAGAGATAGAGAGGAAAAAAGGGGGTAGCGAGTTTTATCTATTAATATATATGTGTGGGTACGAGAAATCATCGATTTCGCCCTAGAGTGAGTTGTATTGTGTACATCGTCGAAAATCCAAAAATCTATGAGGGTATGAAGCAATGAAGATACTCGAGTCTATTCAATTATTTCTTTTTTTTTAGCATGATTTCGAGATTTTTTTACTAGAGATTTGGTGGAGATGAGTTTACGAAGTATAATATCCCACGTAAAAAAAAATCAATGTCAATGTTGGCAAACATGGGCCATATTTAATGCAAATTTGAGCCAGGTTTAGTGCATTAATTTTTTTACGCGAGATTAAATTCTAAAAAATGCCCATGACAGGCATTAGCAACTCACTCAATTGCCTGTCTGAAATAAACGAATCAAAGTTTTTTTCAAGTTTAAACGATAATCGAGTTTTTTTTTAATTATTTTCATTTTCAAAAATTAGGTGTGAGGTGTCGTACTTGTTTTGTCTATATGCAATAAATCTTATTTAATTTACCGTTAAATTTGAATTGGTAAAATTTATTCGTGGATATTATTTAGTGTATAACGTATACGAGCAAATCTCGTACTGATTCGATTGTCAATTAAAGTTTTCATCTATTAGAATGCGATGTCAACATTGCCTATTCATATCGCTCATATGAAGGCACACATTTCTCTATTTATATTTTGCTTAGGTATCTTTCATATACTTCTATGATTTGTAAAGAGAATTTTTGTATTTTAGGTCTTTGTTTTGTTCTGATCAAAAATCTGTTCTCTTGATTTATCTTAACAGCCGTAAGGCATATTTTATTCATCTTTTCTCTGTGTTCTATGTAAGATCACCGACTAAAAATGACTTTATAAGTTGTTCAATAAACTAAACAATTTTCTTGCAAGTTTCAATAAAATTCACCTAACCAGAGGAATAACCCTCAGAGTTAAAATATTTTCAATGTACTTAAAATTACTTAGAATTTCGTGAACGAATTTCACCCCTGGATAGACGCTACGTTCAAAATACTACTTCAGCGCTGCAAAAAAATAAACCAAAAGTATAAAAAAAAAGGAGCAAAGAAAAAAAGAGACTCATCCAGCTGCTCGAACGACTACGCGTCGACGACGGTACGTTGAAGGATTTCAGCGTCGGAAGGAGCAGCAACAGCTATAAGGAGCAAAGTCGCTCTCGAATTGCGAGTCAACAATGCTCGCCTGTCGTATCAATCACAGTGCGAGCGCGAACGCATTGTTAGCCCTCTACCTCTCTCTCTATCCCTACCGTGTATAAAAATTGTTCGTCTTTTTTTCACTTTAATTTATTTAGGTTTTTGTTGTTCTTTTTTTTTCGCGAAGTCACTCGAGTCAAGACGTTACGTCGTGTATACAAATATATATTACATCCTGGCTCACTGTTTCTTACCCTCATTATTTACTTTTACCTAATTTATTTATTCTTGTACACCTTTACTTACTACCCAATATATAAAAATATATAATATACAGTACTCTACGCAACGGAGTAAAATTAGCCATACACGCATAGATCCACCTTCACGCCTGGCAGAAGGTAGTTACTACGCGTGCAACAACGATATACATCCAATGCTTCGAACGTCGATATATATACGCCACACCGTGGCGCGCGTCAATCCACTCGTGTCAGACAACTGCTGCTTCGCAACTCGAGCTTATTCGCGTAGTACAGTGCGCGCGAAAAGAAGAAAAAAAAGGACTATCTTGCCGCACCTATATACAGCTCGCGGAAAGAAGAAGAGCGAATAAAATGAAATAAAATAAATGGAATAAAAATATTTTCCAATTTCAGTGCACGCTCGCGCTCGAATCTCTCGAAACAATCGGTAAACAAAAAAGTTGCTCGACTGCCGCCACCACCACCATGAAGCACGCAATACTGTGCAGTAGCAGCTTTGTGTATTATCCTTTTACAACTATACAACATTTTCAAAACTCTTCCCACTCGACGTACTACAATATCATATTATAGTAGTAGTAGTACAGAGGACATCGTAGCTACATAGTCGTATATACCAAAGCTCGAGCTTGCAAGCTGCGGTGGTGGTCGTCGCTAGCCGTCAGCTTGCAGCACGGAAACTTTTTAATTTTTTAAAACTCAATCGTGTATACATACGTACGTAGTACACGACGAGAGAGAGAGAGAACCTATCATTTCAACTTAGCTTTACACATCTCGCGTATACATACGTACGTACGTATGTATGTAGTTCTCGACTCGCGTGCGCGTCGTAATATCCGCTTGTATATAGCGACGAGCTGTTTTGCACAATTGCCCCGGGTTACGCGAACGCACAAATGACATTTTACCGAAAACGGACAGTTTTACTCGTTGATGCGAAAGTTTCGAGCTTCGTAACGCGACTTCGTGATATATTTTCAAGTACGCTCGTTCGATCTCAAGCGTAAATTTTATAACGTTAATTATATTTTATAATTATAATACAACGATGCGTGCGATGTACTTACGATTTCGTGCGTCGAGGGTGGTGCGCGCGACGTGATGCGGCACGTAGAGATACTCGCCGCGCGCCTGTCGTCCGGCCTCCGTCAGATTGTCGCGGCCCGTCGATCTCAGCCGCAGCAGACGGTCGTCCCTCGCCACCTGCGTCACATGTAACACATTACATTATTTACTATAGATGTTCAGATTTATACAGTGCACGAAAGTCAGCTGCAAAAGGATCTTGTGCGGGCCGGCCTAACGAGGCCACCACCCGCACGACTCTTCGCGATCATCGACTTTTCCTCCAATGGGGTGTAACGAACGAAAAGCGAAAAAAAGGGGGGAAGTAGAAATAAAGCTCGTAACGCGATTTTCCACTTTATAATATTATACGTGTGTATTCGCGAGATGCGAAAGAAAAGGCAGCAAATAGAGTGGGTATACCCCTTTGTGTGTATGGATAGGCGAAGCGTCCTCGCTTAATAGGATTATCGTATCAATGGCATTAGCAAAAATTTATATATATACGAGGCGCTCGACGCTTTCGAATGCATAAATAAGATTCGATGGTTTGCGAAATTCTCGATACCCGATATGCAATTACTGTTCGAAGAATTTTGTTCTATAAGAATCGCGAGTGAAAATTTTGTCACTTAACGGAAATTTCGTTTAGGTATTTTTTATGTCAAGCTTTTTTGGTGTTAAAAGTACAGGACGAAAATCGTATTTTCCGTAATCATTCGAGAGCTAAATAAAAATGTATCAAGGTTGGAAGAAAGTGTCGTTTAAATAATATGACTTTTAGTGATTGATAAACCACTAATGACCAAATTCTATTACTTTTTACTCGACAATCAACCTTGATTATTTCACGTCTACTTGAATTAATTACTCTTGTAGTATTTTTCGCGAAATCTCAAATCGATTATCGACACAACGTACAAGATCGACGGTGGAGGGGGAAAGTTTCGCCTTGTAGCTATAATACAGTCGCAGGATCAACTCGCTAATATATACGACTGATGCGTTCACTCACTAGTATCGAGCTGAATTCCAAGACGAGCAAGTGTTTACAAATCATACACGTAATAGCGGCACATGACCTCGAATTTTTATAGTGAATACTTTTAATCAAAGAACCGATGGATAACAAAAGTGATGTTGTTAGGTATACATTTTTTTGTGCTTGCCATGATATTCGTTTGAGCAATCGCTGTATCAAATTTGATTAATTTCAGGATCAAAGAAGAACCGAGTGATACTTCGCCAGATGCAGGCGACCGTTATAATTTCCATTCGGTGGACTCTTGTAAAGTCGAAAAAGTTGAAACATTCTCGTCTCATGAATTATCGGTGAGTTCAATCGTTTGAATTATGATAGATTCTGTTGCTTGAATATTGAAAACTAGCTCGTAATTCTTATTCCAGGCCGATAACACAAACGAGGCTGTGCCTAACGAGAGGTTAGATACAAATTTATCTATAGTGTTTGAGTGTAAAGATGTTAAACCTAAGCTGAAAGCTCAATCGACCATCGACTGCAAATCTGAGCATCAAAATTTTCAACCTACTGTGAAGGGAGAAGATATCGATTTGACCAATTGTGTGACTGAAAGAAGACTAATAATTTTGATAAAAAAAGGATATAATTATGATAATAATTGTCAATTCAGTGTTAACTCCAGTTTAAAACTTTTCAATCACGAAGGGAGAGGTTCACAGAGCAAACTCTTAGAATGCCAGAGTAAACTCAAAATGCCCATAAATTCTGATCATGATCGCGAAAAACCTTGTGAATGTGACGTTTGTCACAAATTATTTGGACGAAAAGGTACTCTCAAACGTCACACAAAGACAGTACATGATCGTAAAAAACCCTTTGAATGTGAGATTTGTCACAAATCATTTGGATACAAAAGTCACCTTAAAACCCACATAAGTTCAGTACATAACCGGAGCAAAACCTTTGAATGTGAGATTTGCCACAAAACATTTGGACTGAAACATCACCTCGGACAAAAGGGTCATCTTAAAACTCACATAAGTGTAGTACATAATCGTAGAGCTCCCTTCAAATGTGACATTTGTCACAAATCATTTTGACACAAAGGTGATCTCAATAAACATATAAAAGCAGTACATTATCGCAACCAACCCTTTGAATGTGACATTTGCCACAAAAAATTTGGACTGAAACATCATCTCAATAGACATGTAAATGCAGTTCATCATCGTAGCAAATCCTTCGAATGTGAGATTTGTCACAAATCATTTGGATACAACAATGTACTCAAAAACCACATATATTCAATACATGGTCGGAACACACCCTTCGAATGTGAGATTGGTCACCAATCATTTTCATCCAAGGCTTACGTCACTATTCACATTGATGCAATTCATAATCAAAGCAAATCCTATAAGTGTTAAGTTGTCCTGAACTATTTTCAAACTTAAGCAACCTCGATAAAAACATAAATTCAGTTCATCATCGCAGCAAACTTCGAGTGTGAGTCAAAGGATACCCCGAAAGTTCCTATAAATTTAGTTCACGATCGTAATAAATCTTGAAAAATTTGAGATTATTTTTCTGAAACGTTTACGCACAATAAATTTGTGTAAATCAAATTCATTTGTTCACTTGTTACTCGTAATGTTAAAAAATTTACGTCCCAGATATTTTTCATAAACTCATATATCAACAAATCTTGGACATCATTTTTTTAAACCATTCCAAATTCCTTAAATATTTTTCCTCGTTGTATTTGCCGATTTTTATTATTATTAGTTTAACATTTATCCAAAAATATACGATTTAAATGAGGTATTTGTTCTGGCAAAGACAAAAAGAAAGTAACCAAAAAGTAATTTCGGTAATATCAAACATGAAAGAATTAGTTGAATTTTTCGTTCCTGAAACTCAAAAATAGTTATATACAAAATACCTATTAAAATGATAGTTGTTCACGCATTTCCCGATGTTTCTAGAAACCTCACTGAATAACAATTAACATCGATTACGAGTCCATTATCGAATGGCAAGAATTAAAAAAAAAAAAAAATTATCCTAGTACATTACGTCATATCAATTTGAATAAAAAAAAAACATTTTTACACTCACCCTGTCGAGCCTGAGCGCCAGATGCAGTCCCGACGGATCGATGACGGCGCACAGCGATCTGTCCTCGTGCGAGCAGTCGCGGGTGGCTCGCTCGAGCTCGCGCCTCAGCTCGTCGGCCTCGCGGCCCAGCTCGGCGCCGAATTCGCGGGCTCGCTCAGCTCGCTGCAGCAGCGCCTCCGTCTGGTACGAAAGCTCGTGCGACGCTGCAAAAACAAGAAAAAAAAACAGAAAAAAACGTGGGTATGGTACACACACGCGTGCGGGAGTTATTACCAAGAAATGAAAACTGTTGCGCGCGAAAAGTTTCGATACCGTATATATACGCGTACACACGCAGCTGAATAAAATATTTATGATATAGATATCCGTGATAAATCTCAAGTTTACATCGAGTAACAGGTACGTATATATATAGCGACGGGCCGGGCAGTCGTAAACTCTGCAAGTTTTTTGTCCCTATATACGTAACGCTGCACAAGAGCAAAAAAGGGAAGAGGGAGTGGTGGAGGAGCGAGAGATAGAGCGTCGCGATGATCGGTATATCAGGCAAAAAAACTTTTTATATATAGATACTGCTGTTTGGGCAGTGCAGGAGGTAGGAGAAAATTTATTCGACGACGGCAGCGAGCCAATTTCGATATCACCGCGCACCCACACATGTACTCAGAGGAATCCACAGTATGCACGTGTACGCGTGTGTACTAATAAGCTTGCAAGGGAGCTTGCGAGAGAGAGAGAGAGAGAGAGAGAGCTTAAAGTTACACGTACGCTTGTCCCTTTATGGATAAAGGGGCAAGTTTCTCCCTGTACGATACGATCGTATAATAGAGAAAGTTTGATCGCGACGCACGATAAGCTGCGTACAATATAATAATAATTGCTCGAGCCACGATCAAAGATTCAAAGGAGATTATTTTGCACGAAAAAGATGAATCTATATATCTCACGGTCGAAAATCTTCCAACCCTTACGCACACGTACGCATTGGTACGAGGATCGGGTCCGCGAGGCATATGCGTACAATTCACATATATAATTAAACTAATTGCCGAGGCTTGTTCACCCTCTCTCTCGTTTGTGCTGCTGCTGCTGTGTACACACAGGGATCTATTAGAGTAAACAATGCAAGTTGGTGCGTTTGCTCGAGCGAGCAAACAAGCGGAACGGATGACGATGCACAGCAGCAGCAGCAGCAGCAGTTATAATAACCGAGAGTGAGAAAGAGAGAGATGCGCAGCAGCAACAGCAGAACAAAAGCATAGAAATATATTCTATACGGTAAGCGAATTGTAATCGCAACGCAACGAGTTATTATATACATGAAAGCAGCTGACTTATATCGTTATTAAGACACGGAGAAATTCCAAGTACGCGTGTTCTATGTATAAGCGTATAGTATTATGTTGGAGAGCGATTCTATGATGAATATTTCTGAAATTCGAGGATAAAATCCTGCGATTTAAGTTTTTGTTTGTCACTCGAAGCGTATAATGTGTTCATTGAGGGCCCGGAAGGATATAACAATATTGATGGATATATTATCGAGAATTATTTTTGTGTTCAATCCGACTATAAAATCATGATTTCCCGCGCATTTACTGTGTATTCAATGTTTTACCCATGCTTTCTCCTTTGGTATTTAGGGAACGAAAAACTGTGATTGAAATAAGATAATTTTTTGTGAATGTTCGACTACACTTGAAAAAAAATACCTTTGAAAAAATTACTTTGTTGCAAGTGATGTCAAAGAGATGTATTCAAATTAGAACCTATCGGTTCAGTTCTGATAGACATAGGATAAGTAGCTAAAAAAAACGTGCAGAATTTAATTCGAGCGAAACACGCTGAAAAATGATCGGTAATAGTGAATCCACATGAAATTAAGGAGTTCACCTTTTTTTAGCTTCATAATTATTGATATGCTTCGTATTTTTTCAAAACTGTATTGATTTTTATTTAAACTCAAACAGAATTTTTACATAATGAGATAACATATTAAGGTAAACGAAAATTTTTAATTTAGTCATTCGAATGTAAACATCAAATTATACACGTTCGTTAGTATGTTGTAGCACATGAGTGATGGACCGAATTAATGTGTCTTTTAAGATATTTCTTTGTAGAGAATTTCTTTTCGCATATATCGCATGGATGTTTGATACCATGCTGCATTGAATCGATGTGACAATTAAGGTAAACCATACTTTTGAATTTTTTCCCGCACATATCACATTTATAGGTGATTTTATTATGAATCGATTCGATGTGGATTTTCAGAGAAGACTTTTGTGAAAATGACTTTTCGCATAGATCGCATGCATGTGAGATTTTATTATGAATCGATTCGATGTGGAGTTTCAGAGAAGATTTATGTGAAAATGACTTTTCGCATACATCGCAAACATGTCTGATTTTGTTATGCACTGTATCGATGTGGGTTTGGAGACTGTCCTTTCGTGTAAATGTCTTTTGACATATATCGCATTCATGTGCGATTTTATTATGAACCGTATCGATGTGTTTTTTGAGAATATCTTTTCGTTTTAATATCTTGCCGCATACTGGACACGCGTGGCTTGTACCAATGTGCATTTTAAGGTTATGGTCGTTGTTGAGCTTTTTTATTTTTTCATTTCGTTCGACTAGTTCACCGTCGAAATTCGAATTCAATTCTTCTGCGACATCTCCAATAATTTCTTGTTTCACTTCTTCCGTGGTTTCCATTTTAATAATGTTTTTAGTTTTGTAACAATAAACGCTATCTGTTACATTACATAAGCTACTTGAAGAATAATCGTCCATTTTTTGCACTGATAATAAATTCACATAGGGCTTGACGTCCTCACATTCGACGACAATTTCCACTTCGTCAGTAAGTTCACTTGTATGATTTAATTCAAATTTTTGCAGGGTACTGGTCTGCCATGAAATAAAATTCAATGTCAGAGTTTTCATAGAAAAACAAATAAAAGTTGCATATAATTATCAAATCTTACTGAATTTTCTCCCGGAAATGGTAAGAGTTGGATGTTTTTAAGATCGGGTTTCTAGTCGATCATTTCGCTATAATTTTCAATAAGCCCCGCATCGTTAGACTCCTCCTTCACCCTGAAAATAACCTCAATTAGGTCAAGTATTATTTTTTTTAAATTTCATTCTCAAAAAATGAAGATTACCTCATGGTACTGTTAAACAAACCACTGGATTCCATCCTTTTGACTTAAAATCACGTTAACAATTAATCTCACTGATTTCACACAAGCTAACCTTACTCGAAGAGACTGGGGCGGCCAAGGAAAACTGTGACTGGTGCCTAGCTCACGATATGTTGAAAAACTATGACTAAGCGAAGAGCACCAATTTATGTTCGATCAGTTGAAAAAATAACTCGTTCCAAGCGCCACACCGATGGGTCACTAACACTTATAATCAACGCACGATGCGAAGAACGTGTGGAGCTGTGCTCGCTCTTATGTTTACATCATGCGTCGTATGAGTGTATGACCTTGCCCGGCACACGTTTAGTTTAGGTGTTCATACCATGTAGGACACAGAGTCAGTCAATCATAAGCTCGTACTCCTCGCATAGACACAGTTTTTCAAATTATTACGAGCACAACGCAGCAGTCTTCGCTAGTTTTTTGTATAAAGTTAGCTTGTGAAATCATCGCAGGTGAGGTTAATTGTCAGTGGAATTCCAAGCGACAAAGATGGAATCGAGTGATATATTTAATTGTGCTGTCAGGTAATTTTAAATCGAGGATGAATTTATAATAATATTTTAACTAAATACTTGACCTAATTGAGGTTATTGCAGGTTGAAAGAGGAGTCTCTTGCGCCTCTTACTGAAAATCATGATGACCAGAAGTCTGATCTAAGAAGTGTTCAATTTTCGGAATTTCCAGGAGGGAATTCAGTAAGTCTTCATAATTTATGTAAACCATATTACAGTTGTTTTTTTTTTAATGAAAATTTTTCCTACATATTTTATTTTAAAACAGATCCATACACTTCGAAAATGTGATATTAAACTTGAAGACGAAGTGGAAATAGTCGTCGAATGTGAAGATTTCAAGCCCAGCTTGGATTCATTGGTAGTCGAGAAAATTGAGAATTATTCTTCAAGTCACTTGAAGAATGTAAATAGCGATAAGACTCAAAACGTCATAAAAAAAGAACCCGTGGCGGATGTGAAACAGGAGTTTTCTAGTGACGTTGCTGAAAGATTGAGTTTGAATCTCGACTGTGAACTTGTCGAACGAAATAAAATAAGAAAAAAATTAAACAACGATCGCAACCTCAAAATGCACATTGGTACAAGCCACGCGTGTCCAGTATGCGGCAAGATATTAAAACGAAAAGATATTCTCAAAAAACACATCCATACGGTGCACAATGACATCAAACTTACATGTGATAAATGCGGAAAATCCTCAAATCAAAGAAGTAATCTCATAAGACACATTGAAACAGTACACAATAATATCAAACATGCATGTGATAAATGCGGAAAGTCATTTACACAAAAGTTCAATCTGAAAATCCACATCGATTCAGTGCATAAAAGAATTGCTCATGCATGTGATACGTGTCAGAGGAAATTCCCAACGAAGGTTAATCTCAAATTCCATATCGATAAGGTTCATAATAAAATCGCACATGAATGCGATACATGTGGAAAAATATCCTCAACTAAGGGTCATCTCAAAGTTCACATTGAATCAGTACATAATGGTATCAAACATGCATGTGATAAGTGTGGAAAGTTATTTTCACGAAAATCTTATCTCAAAATCCACATCGCTTCAGTGCATGAAGGTATAAGACATTCTTGTAATTTATGTGAAAAAAAATTCTTAACGAAGTATCGTCTCAAAATCCACATCGATGCAGTGCATAATGGTGTCGAACATACATGTATTTTATGTGGAAAGAAATTCGCACACAAAAATAGTCTCAAAAATCATATCGATTCGGTTCATAATAAAATTGCATATCCATGCGATATATGCGGAAAAAATTACTCCATGGAGGGTAAACTCAAGATCCACATAGATTCAATGCATAAAGGGTTAGCTCAATCGTGCAAAACACGCAGAAAGAAGTTCGCAACAAAGGGTAAAATGAAATTCCACATCGAATCAGCGCATTAAGGTATCATTCATCCATGTGATACACGCAGAAAGAAATTCACACGAAAGACTTTCGATGTATGTGAAAAAATTTTCACATTGAAAAGTAGTTTAAAAAAACATGTCGATGCATTCCATAGTGGTATCGCTCGCGTATGCGAGACACGCGAATAAACACTTTCACCAGAGAGTAGTCTCATATTCCACATTAATTCGAAGTATATTAGTGTCACATTTGCACGAGATATTTGAGGGAAAATGTTTGCATCTAAACGCATCACTTACGCATTAAAACTCAATTCAAATATTTGAAAGACCAATTGAAAGATGTTTATTCATAAATATCATGTCTTAATGTGTAAAAACAATGTTGAATATTTCAGAAAATAAATAAATTTTGAGACAAAGTTAAGCCCATATTATTATTGCCCATGCACACCTCAAGAAACCCGAGAAGATTTTTTTTTTTTGTTTTTTCAATGTCTCAAAGTCAACAAGAGAGCCAGAGCGACAAAATTTTCATTGTTCCCGCGTTTTCTCGTGTTTTCGGGACCTCAATTAACAATTATCAAAATATTCACTATTCGCGCCAAGTAACAAAATCTCCCATCACGACTTTAGTCTCGAATTTTAAGGCCCCTTTTTCATAGAATCGCTCATATACTTGTTATACCTATAAGTTATATACGTTGTTCGCAGCTTGTATATCATCATCAATCTACGACTAGGGCAAAATTTTTTGGCTCTAGTCGAACTCGCGCCGTATACACTAAATAAAACATCATCTCCGTATAGAACTTTGGTTGCGGTCGAAGAGTAAAAAAAAAGTATTTAATTTATGAACCAGCCAAAGCAACTCTCGTTTCTCGCAACTGTCGAATCTCTATATATATTAGAAATTTTATACTACGAAACTTCCAGGCGCGATCGTGTTATGATTTAAAGGAGCCACAGCGTAGGATATATATATTTTAGTACTAGAGCTTACAATTCGCCACATCCATCAGCGATTCCAGTGCCACGTCGAGGCCGGTCTCGGCCGCGAGCTGCTCCTGCACCGGCTTGCCAAGTAGCTCCTCGACGTCTGCAAACAGAGAGAAGAGAGAGAGAGATGATTTATTCATTATACAGAAAACTTCTTTTTGTGCTTTTTTGCTCGCGTCTTTGGCAAACATGTACAGATAATACATACGTATACACACGATCGCTCATTAAATTCACCCGCTCGTAAAATACAGTACACACATTGTTCATGTATGTGTGTGTTTGTGTGCGAAAGCTACTGTGCACGCGCATTATATGGATTGACCTAATAACCCATAAAAAGCTCGCGACGCTGTCTTTCTCTCTCGAGCTTTACGCTCTTTCTTTTTGTCTGTATTATCCGACGTTTATATAAAATCGCGCGCGCAAAATAATTTTTCACTCGCGCTTAATCGCAAGCACACTGCAAGCTCCGAGCGATGGATTTTTCGCCTGTACACACGAATCCGGATCGCAAATTGCCGATTGTATTTCGATCATCGCAGGGGGGAAATTGTGTCATCGTCCGATCGCGTCTCTCTCCCTCGTCACCCCTGCGGTTTTCCATGTAGCGCGTTGGTATACACACATATACGCACAGACACACAGACACACGTGCGAATGATTGATTCCAGTCGCGCTGATCGAATTTCATCGTTAGATAACCGCGGGGTTTGTTGTGTATATAGTACATCGTGTATAGGCGAGTGTCGATTACTATATATACGCCTACAACAACAACAACGACATATCGTGCAAAATACAAAAGAAAAAAGTGGAAGGTCTAAAACGCCGAGATTATTCGAGCCCAACGAGCTGGCGCGAGAGCGACTGCATCAAGGCCTTATACAAGCGACGAATGTGTGTGTGTGTGTGAGTTTAATCGTGCGAAGGTGTCCGATTTTTCGCGCGCCGACCTTGAACTAGAAGTGCCTGCAGAAGAGCTTCCATGCGCGCACAAGACGACGGCGCGGAGAGATGACCGAGGCGCCCGAACGAGATTACTTGCGTTTCCGATGGCACAGCAGGTATATATTTCACATTTCGTCTATATGATACTCTCGATTTTTCACGCGTGCATATATAATAAGCAGGCAAGGTTATATAGCTCGAGCTTCGCGTCTTCTCGAATTTAATTCGAGGTAATTTTTTTGTTTTTTTTTTTCTCGTTTAGGATAATATACAGTTGAGTAAGAGACCGGGGAAAAGAAAAATAATCGCGTCGGGCTCGAGTGTACGATAATAAAGCGTATACGTATAACGCGTGTTTTTCTTTTGCTCGCTCGCGGAGATCACCGGGGGTCGTTAATGCTCCGTTAAGCAGTTTTTCGTTGAAAAAACATTTTTACCCGGTGCTCGTGACGCGAGCAGCCGTGGATTATAATGAATTTTCGTCGTCGCTGTCGTCGCGAAGAGAGCTGCGAGAACACGAGACAAAAAGGCGCAGTCGTCGGAAATATAGCGTAGAAACGTGGTTCAACAGACACACACACACACACACACACTATGTGCACAGTCGAATGTAGGTTTTTCTTTGCGCATCGCTGCCGTATACGTCGACGATATACTCGTGTATATATTTATATAATCTAATTAGAATCAATAGAAATGCAGCACCGTTTCATCGCTCGTACATCGTGTATGAGTTATTTATGTGTGTGTATGTGTTCACACGTGCACCACAGCTCTACATCGATTGTGTATCAGTGTGGATATGTGTGTGCTGCAAGGGAGTGACTGTACCACCGATGAGTTGATCGAGCCCGTACAAACATCCCTTATCTGAATAGCGGATGAGTCTGTTCAAATAACGCTATGACGCGGGGGCAGCAAATTTTGGAATGAATATCAAAATTTTCATTGTTCACATCTATAAGGATCTATTTACTCGATTTCTTTTGCGTGGATTTGATGTTGTATGTCGACAGTTTTTTGGAGAGTACTTAGTTTTATAGGCCAAAAAATCCCTGGAAGGAATTGTCGCCAGGTTAAAATTAAAAATTTTTTTGAGTGTTGTATATGAACAATGTATAAACAGTTAAATCGGTACCTAAATTGTAAACAATATAATCATAAACGATTTTGACATAGTCCCTCAAGAATTGATTATATTTATAGTAAAATCTTATTAGTTTGAATGTTGTCTTTCACGACTGAGCAAGTCATAATACCTAACGATAAATTGTACTTATTAAATTTCCGTAACACCAAATAGACTGATTCGTCATTTATTTTAGACACCAAAATGAACAAAAATAAAAAGAAATCTGAGGAATTTATTTCGGAAAATAATTTAAGGGAACAGGACATTGTTGTTTCAGACGACAAGAAATACGTATGTGACATTTCTCAGGAGGCTTTTAAACTTGAATCAAGCATGATAACACACCGAGACACAATTCACAAAGAACGAAAAATTTATGCATGTAACAAGTGCGAAAAGAAATTTGATTTTCGAAGTCATTTGAGTAGACACCAAATATCAGTTCACAAAGGCTGCAACGATTTTGCATGTAACGAGTGCGAGAAGAAATTTGTGAAAAAATCGAGTTTATTTACGCATCAAAAATTGGTACACAAAAATCGCGATGATTTCACATGTAACAAGTGCGAGAAGAAATTTGAAAAAAAATCAACTTTACTCAAGCACAATAAGATATTCCACGACATTTTTAAAGATTATTTATGTGAAAGGTGCGCGAAGAGATTCGGAAATAAACGAAGTTTGCTCGTGCACATAAAAACAGTTCATGAGGGTTGCAAAGATTTTAAAGTCTTCAAAGATAACGTATGTGATAGATGCGAAAAAAAATTTGTGAGTAGACGGAATTTACTCGACCATCAAAAGTCTGTACACGAAAGGCGCAAAGATTACACATGCGACACGTGCGAAAAAAAATTCGGATATAAATTTACTTTGCTCTTCCACCAAAGGGCAATACACGAAAGTCGCAAAAATTACGTGTGCGACAAATGCGAGAAGAAATTTGGGAGTAAATCAGGTCTGTTGAGACACCACAGGACAGTACATGAAAGTCGTAAAGATTTCGCATGCGACCATTGCGATAAGAAATTTGGACAAAAATCGTATTTGAATATTCACCAAAAGACAGTCCATGAGGGTCGAAAAGATTTCTCGTGTAACAAGTGTGAGAAAAAATTCGGACAAAAAAGAGTTTTGTTCCTACATCAAGTGAGAGTCCATGAGGGTCGAAAAGATTTCTCCTGTAACAAGTGTGAGAAGAAATTTGCACGAAAATCAGATATGTCTTCGCACCGTAGGAGAGTACACGAAGATCGCAAGGATTTCGCATGCAATAAGTGCGAGAGGAAATGTGGAGATAAATCAGATTTGTTGAAGCACCAAAGGACAGTCCACGAACGTCGCAGAGATTATGCATGCGACAAATGCGAGAAGAAATTTGGGGAACGAGGCAATTTGGTAAAACACCAAAAAATAGTCCACCAAGGTCGCAAAGATTATCCATGTGACAAGTGCGAGAAGAAATTTGGTGTAAAATCAAAATTGATTAGGCACCAAAGGACAGTTCACGAAGGTCGCAAAGATTACGCATGCGAAAAGTGCGGACAAAAATTTGGACAGAAATGGATTATGATTCGTCACAAGATAGTTCATGAACCTCGTAAAGATTACGCATGTGACAAGTGCGAGAAGATATTCGAACAAAAAGTGCAACTGCACAAACACCAAAACACAGTTCACAAAGGTTATAATGATCACGTATTCGATCAGGGGGAGGAGAAATGATGATTGATAATTGTAAATATGGTACAGATACTCGTTCATATGTTTTACAAAAATTCCAATAAAAATCGTACTAAAATAATTGTGTATTACCGGAATCTCGGTCATTCAACAGTAGCTTTCGGGTGTTTTTAGATTTTACGTACTATTTATTACTGTTCTATGTTTATTTTTTGGCTACAGGATTCGTGTAGCTCTTCGTACAAAGATCACTCGAAAGTTATTTTTTTACTTCTTGTTTGAAAGTGTGAATAGGGCGAGAATTTAGTTGGCTACCAGATTTTTGATAATCCTTACGTAATAATATCACGACCCTGAATCAGTCAAACACGCGTTAGTGAACGATTTAGATAAATTTGTTGACAGGTAGATTATTTTAGCTACGAGAAAAGTGATTGGCAATAACAATATTTCCTACTTCCAAAAAGCAACGTAGAAACCATTTAATAATTTAATTTGAACACAATAATGATTTTTAAATTTTTTCAAAATTCACAAAAGTCTTCATAATTGTTTTTGAATTGCTTGAGGGTCTGTTTTGGTACATTTCACTAGGACGCCTACATTAAATTGATCTTTATAAATTTTTAAACCAATATCCAAAAAATGTATGACTATTTTTAACAATCACTTCATACTTTTTTCACTGGATCTACCTTAATTTCAGCCCTAACAGAAATGCTCAATAGCAAAAATTACTCGATGATCGAAAAATTACCATTTCCAATGATTTAAAATACATCACCACTCACCGGCTCGCTTTTGGCCACTTTTCTATTCCAATGATGTTAAAAAATATCGTGCGCATTTCAAATAACCCTAGACGATCATGCCGCTAGATGGCGAGCTATCTATGTATGTGTAAATCTGCAAGTGAAAAAGTGAAAATAGTTGTATAAGTTAAGCACGATTTTTTTTTACCAAAGTCACGTCGTGTTTTTTGTGGTTATAATGTGTATAAGGTTAAAAGTTATTCACAAAATGTTAACCATTTCTACCAAGGCTAACAATTAAAGAAAAGAGAAATGAAATATTGGTATAACACTACCCTCCTTTCAGGCACCCCGTTGCACCTACATGCTATTTCACGCTTTTTTGCGAAATAAGCAAAAACCACACACACACACACCTACACTGCACTACATACATACGGCGTTATAACTTAGCTCCGCAAGAAACGGCTAAAGTTCAGAGTCGAGTCGCGCTGCTGTATATATGTACGTTCACGTGTGCGGCGCGCAATTTGGCTTCCCTCTCGCCTACCCTCTGCGCTCGAAGGCGGGTACACCGTATGCACGTATAAATATATAGGTGGTGTGTACGTATGTACCTGGGTGCCGCGCGCGCGATATCGTCCAAAACTTTCGGGGTGGCAGGCGAAAACTTGTCGGACAAAAAAGGAGTGGTGGTGGTGGTATAAGACAAAAGCTCGCTTTTCGCGCAGGATATGATTGTGTCTTTGCGAAACCACAAGGAGAAGAAAAAAAAAACTAGATTCGTGTTTCTGTCAATTGCCGTCGTTAGCCGCGCGCGAAGCCCGAGCAAGTCTTCCTCTACTACTACTTCTTTCCTCTTCTTCTTCTTCTTCCGCAAAGAACTCAAAGCACGAGTACAAGAAAAGAAAAAAGAAAAGTTTCGCGTCATACGTGCTGTATACAATTGTGTATACGTACTGTCGAGATCGGCGAGAATAGCCTCGCTGGCCACGTCCAGGCTGCGCGTCAGGCACTTGCGCAGCTGTCCCGCGCCACCCTGATGATAGTCCCGGAGATCCTGCAGTCCGGCCTCGAGAGTCTCGGGCAGCAGCTCCAGGCCGTTGGCCAGCTGCTCGTTGCAGACGAGCATCGTCAGGCCGCAAGCCCCGAGTACAATGGCGAAAGTGGCCAGACAGCAGTAGGAGCCGGTGCGTCGTCTACTCGGTGAACCGGCGCGACTGACCGACGAGGAGTAATGGTTTTTTTTCCTTCGCGAAGCGGAACCGCAGCAGCAGAGCCAGCACTCGGTGCTCGGCACGACGAGCATCATCAGGCCGAGGAAGCAGGCGCAGCAGAGGAACACCAGCTCGAAGTGCACCGACTGGGCCAGCAGCGACTGCAGCTCGATACGGCCGTCGATGCTGTCCTTGAGCAGATCCAGGGGGACGCTGCGCGGCAGTATCACCCGGAGAAAACCTCGCAGAAAGTCGAAGACGAAGAGGCCCCGATCGAGGTGGAGCGAGGCCATGCGGTAGCGCTCGTCCACGGCCTTGCGCGGGAAGTGCAGCCGAGGCAGATTGTTGCGATCGATCGTCGCGAGCTCCCAGTCGCTGCGTCCGTACGACGATCTGTTGTACATCATATTGTTGTATAAGTCGTTATTGCCGCGACGAGGCGGCAGCGGCAGCGGCGGATAAGGTTGAAAGAACTGAAAAGCACAAACGATATTATTAACGATGTAATGATATTAGCACACGTGCGAATTTACGTAATAAGTATTAGAATTATGTATGCACGATGTTTACGAGGGTCGCTCACCTGCACGTCGTCGTAACGCCTGTCGGGCTGCGGGCCGTCCTTCTTCTCCCCTTTATCGTTGCTGCTTTTGTCATTGTCTTGATCCGCCGACTCGGTGTTACTACTCTTAACCCAATTATCGGTATTATCGTCGCTGCTGCCGCTAATCCTCCTGTCGGGCGACGACGCAGGGATTTTTCTCCTCTCCGTCATCTGCTGGTCCTCGTCGATTATCATCGATTGCCGATGGACGTGATCGTCGAGGCTCTTCACCGTATTCTGCTCGCCGCTGTCGACTAACAGGATCGGCTCGCTCAGACGTCGCTCCGGATGCAGATCGTCGCCATCCTCGTAACTTCGCCGCTCGTACTTGGGCTCGCCGTTGACGTTGGGACGACGTGGATTATTATTATTATTGGCTTTCGAACTTTTCTCCGTACTGTAGATGGGTGGCCTGTCGTAATTGTTATTGTAGCGTCGCTGCTGCTGCTGCTGTTGCTGCTGATAATGGTGATCGACCAGACGACGCTCGAAATTTTCCCGATAATGAAGCAGCGACGACGACGAGCCAGCGTCGTCGGGTAGCAAGTCGTCCAGCAGACGGGGTGGCTGCTCGTCTCGATTAAGGGCGGGAAACGGCGAGGGTGACGACGATGCGTCGAGTGGACGAGGCTTCTCGTTCGTGTGGTACTGATAATTTTTGCCGCTCCGAGTCGTAGGTGGTATCGTGGCTTTGGTCTTGTACTTGCCGCCATCGACTGGAATATCGTCGTGCTCGTCGTTGCCGTCGTTGGTATCAACCTTCCACTTCTCATCGCGATCGTTGTAATAACTTCTTTTATCATCGTCGACATTATCGTCGTACCGTCGCCGCTCGTCGCGATTATCCGACTTATAATCCTTGGCAAAATTACCGATTTTCGTGACGTACCTAGGATCCTCCTCGTACGAGTAATTGTCAGGCCGATTCTTATCGCGCTGGTACTCGTTCAGCGGCAACACTTGGAGACTCACGTCGACCACCGGTACAGGGTCATCGTTGTCGTTGTCGTTCGATCTTCCTCTGTTATCTTCATCCAGCTCGTCCTCGTAAAAATACTTTCGGCCGGATGATTTTTTCAGCAGCGGTTCGTCGTCGTTGTCGCTGCTCTCGTCGGGAAATCGATTCAAGTGCGCCTCGTACGGATACTTGTCCGCGTAAAGATCGTCTGCCTTGGGATATTCCGTACTCGTGGTGGTGGTACTGCTGCTGCAGTTGAACGACGCTGCTTTGCCATTATTATTGTAGATCTCCTTGGCGTGAGCGAGCCGACTCGTGGCCGTCAAAAGCACGATCAATCCTGCACAAGCAGCACGATTATATAAAAAAAAATTTAGATACTACACACTTTTACACACAAAGCTTACCGTTCAGGCCGAAGACGAGGGCTGAGCCACGACGTCGCTTCATGACTGTTTACACTCGTATGTTCACCAATCGTACAGCAGCCCGGTCAACATCCAGAACAGCACGATGTAAATCATCAAGAGGAAAAAGAACGCGTAGGCCGAAATTTTGACGAGCTTGCGGGGGATCGACGGTTAATGGAAGGGAGGAGAGAGAGAAGGCGAAAAAGACGCAGCGACCGACGAAAAAAGAGGCCGAAGAAAAAAGAACGGATGGTAAAAAATTCTCTGTAACGCAAAAAAACGACAACGAAAAGGCCCGCGAGCAGTCTGAAGAGCTTCGTGCGCCGCGTAATCGGACAACAACTACTGCTTCTGCTGCTGCCGCATCGACGCACACATAACGTCCCCGTTTATAACGTTGGGCTTCCCCGTTAAAGACAGAGTGTGTGAGTGTGTGCGTGTAGGGGTAGGTGTTGCGCACACACACACAGGCGCTATATATAGGCAAAAGTTCGCGAAGCCTAGCAAAGTCAAGTGTTCGTCGAACTCTCTCTCTCTCGTATTATACGAAAGATAGCTATTCTTCCCCTTTTCCTATATACCTACTACTACGACTACGTAAAATCGTCATAGGCACATATATATAAGAGTAGATACGTACATACGTATACAATACGTATAAGCATAAAGAGCGCGAGAGAGAGAGAGAGAAGAAATATCTGGGTTAAACTCGGCTGTGTAAGAGTACTACCACTACTACTACCCCCTGCTGCAAATCGAAGAGATTGAGTTTGCACGACGACGACGAGAGGCACGATCTCTCGCGCAGAGTTGTTACCTTCTCGCGTTCGCGAAAAGAAGAGGAGGAGGAGAACCTCGCGGATGCCCTCACCCACCGCGGTACTATACTTTTTCAACCTGCAGCAGCAGGGGGTGGGGGGGTAATTGTGTGCGCGGCAGCGGCAGTTTTTTGTCGTCGTTGTCGTCGTCGTCGTCGAGAGGCCGCTTATAAATGTCGAATCGCGACGCTGCTGCTGCTCGCTGCTACTATATGTATATCTGTGGTGGAAAGGCATAACGACTTAAGTCCATTTTTCGTGTTTTCTAGAAAAACGCGTTTTAAGTTGATTGTGCCAGCCTAACTAGACGCGGACGAGTTGAGGTCTGAACCTATGATGTTTTAAGCTACTATGAGGTAGCTTTTGACCTATGTACTTATGAAATTGAAAGGCTCATCATAGCGATGATACGGAGCAAAAAATATGGACTTAAGTCGTTTTGCCTTTCCACGCTTTGCACTTAAGTCCACTTTTGGCAGTCACACTTTTTTCAGTATCGATAATTTCGCGCAGTTTGTGATCATAACCTTATTTAATGATTTTATATTGATAAAATAGCTAATTTAACGTTATACTAGTGTCAGATCTCAAGTCTTGCAACGAAAAAAGGCCAAACTGAAAATCGCGAAAATGACCCCTCGCGTATTAAATGTACCAATTGTATAGTGAAATTCACAACATTCGAAGAATGTGAGAGCTATTTATATGTTTGAATATCATTTTCTTTCATTTTCAAATCAAAGTAGACTCTCTATAAGATTTTGGAGCTCACAAAGGTGGACTTAAGTTGTTATGCACAATGCTGAAACTAACGATAGAAGCTAAATTCGTCTATTCTGACCTTTGTACCTTAAAGTAGACACTAAATATAGGTGTTTTTCATCATAATATCGATTTCCAAAAAAATGGACTTAAGTCGTTATGCCTTTCCACCACAGATATATGCCGCAGCAAAATCTTCTACGTTGGATGTATAAGTTTTTTTTCTTTATCTCGTATCTATATAGAGAGGTACACGTGTAAAATCATCGTAATACTGAGAGAGAGATGGGATAAAAATGTAACGCGAAAATCTTTTCAATTTAAGGAAAAATGTATGCACGCATGTGTGTTTATGGGTGGGTAGCAATCTCGAAAGAAAGAGAGAGATTTACACGCGCGTTTAACACACACACACGTGTGGTATAATATTATAATATATGTATATGCCACGCGCGAGCTCCGAGACACTACGCCACCGCCGCCGCTGCTGCACTTTGTCTTATTGTATATATATAATACTATAACGCATTACCGGACGCGCGTGGCACGTGTAAATCATTCGTCGTCGTCCCCACCTGCGCGCTGCAGCTTAAACCTGTGCAAGCTGCTTCTTCTTCTTCGTTGGTGCTCTGCTGCCTTTTGTTGTTATGGTAGTAAATGTTCGTATATGAAAGATGATTATTTAAAATTTTTTAATTACAGCTTGACATTGATTGGCTCGTTTTTTGGCTATTTTTCTATTATAATTATGATGAAAATATCTTGCACATCTTGAAGATGACAGTATTATAGTTTGAGTCTTGGTCGCTAGATGGCTAGTACATTCGATTCGTGAATCTGCAAGTGGTAAAGTTAAAATAATTGTATATACGTCAAAGCAAGATCTTGAAATAATAAAGTACTTATCAATAAAGTGGCGTTTTTTTAAGTAGAAAATTAAAAATAACTATTGAAAATGTGTTTAAATGGTAATTGGCACAAATTTTACCATAAATATAATCGTTAAAATAGCATATATGTTTTATACTTCTAACGGCTCATTTATGTACAAGAGATTTTTTCGTTGTCCAAAAACCAAAACTAGTGATGAATATTGACCATTTCTATCTGCAATGTCGCATATTTATTTATGTACACGTTTGCGATATCATTGTGTATTTAATATTTATATTAAATTATCGATTTTGCCTCTAACACGTGTATTATAACATCGTGTAATGTGTACACTATTACAATAAGCTAGAGGTACATTACATGATAATATATTCATAGATTGTCGTCGAAATCTACGCGCGCGCATGTTCGATCCGTGTAATGTATATTCAATTACAATTGTACAAATTTATTTTTTCGCTCATTTTTAATAACTCCACGCACGTACAGATACGTATACGCGTGGGTTAATCGAATTGAATTAATGCATCACTTGTTCGTCTCGCCTACGTACGATACTATCGCAAATTAATTCGATGATATTCGAGAAAGTGTATTAAGAAAATTAAAATTAAAAAAAAAGCGACGGAATACACGTATCGTATACGCTCGGTGACATGCGCGAACGTAATCAAGGCCAAGGGATGAGCCTTGATCTTGTTTTCTCGCTGTTTTTTTTCTTTTTATACCAACTAGAGTCTCGCACACATGTACTCGTGCGAATCGTGACGGCCATCACTACTTAAGACAATTAATCGTACGAGAGCCGCGTCTATGTGTACACAGGATTAGACTTCTGCGAAACTTAGAAACGCGATGCACTATTTTCTCAAATTTTCTCTGAACACACGACGAAGGGCAAATTCAATTTCGAATTTGAGATATTTGAAAAAACAAAAAAAAGCTAGACGTAAATTTTTCGACTCATTTCGCACACGCCCCCTCGACGACAACGCGACGATCATATCGCGAGATTCGCCCGCGAGCTTTTTCGATCGTCTATATATACTACTCGAAAAGCCGCTTACAGCTGTACGCGAATCGCGCGAAAATGAATCTTTCCCACAGTGGCAGCAGCTCTAGTCTTTGGGTCGAGAGCGAGTGAGCTTTTCTCCCTTCCCTTCAATCCCTTTTTTGATTCTTTTTTTGATTTATATGTTTAAAACGTGTCGCGTATATATAATATTATACGTCGAGCACGAGTACGAGATTGAGAGAGAAACGGTTTTATTACGGGGTGCCCATGATACAGCAGCAGCCGCCCCGCAGCAGCCCTGGTATTATATTATACGAACGTCCATTCATATAATAAGCAATGTAAATGACGTTAATGGCCATGGTACTTACGGCGCTTCCTCTATTATTCAATTTTAATTTTAACCTTAATACATATACGTCTGATATGCGCCTTCATTTTCGCCCGCTTACAGTAATATTGACGTACGATACGTTTCTTGGAGTATGCATAGGCGCATTACACATGTGAGAACATAATAGGAGTGGTCGAATATCTTTTTTGAATAAAGATCCCGGAGCAGAGAGACGGATATTACAAGATCGATATGTTATATTCGTGCGCTCGGGTGAGCGAGAAAAGGTGTGTACGCTATTGCTCGAGTCCAGTGCATACAATTTTTTTCTCTTTATCTCTCTCGTCTTCGGACTTGTTGCATTTCGTATAAAGCTCCGACTCGTGTACACACGCACACTTTTCTTGCCTGTGTGAGCTTTTGGACAATATACATTAGACTCTCGCAGTCTGCGTAATGTAATAAATATCAGGTGAGTTTTATTGAAATTAACTCAATTTTTCGCTGATGAAAATTTCATTTGCGGCAAAATAATTGTTGTTCTTGAGGCATATCGATAATGTATGATAGTGTATAATGGCTTAATGTTGCTTTGTTTACATCGATTCGAACGCTCATGTTCACGATACGTAAATATTATTGAATTTTGAGTTGGTCGGTTCGATGTGTCACATTACTACAGAATGACCGCAGTCGCTCACAAAATTCCGATAGTGGAAGATGAAGTCCAGTGGCTTATTCAATTGTGGTACCCGGTAAATTTTATTTCATAAGAAAGAAATTACATTCTATCGAAATAATTAATCTTGTCTAAAATATTCCAGAGTGAAACAAGAGCCCCGTGATGTGTATGAAAGTACTGATGATGTTCAATGCTTCAGATTTCAGCAAGAAAATGTGGTAAGTTTTGGTGGTTCTTCATGCGAATCGTATTGTTGTTGTATTTATTGAAATTTTTATACAAATTTAATTTCATTACAGACTGAAAGGCTTCGAAAATGTGATGAAAATCATGAAATCCAACTAGACGATTTGAAAATTGAGTTCGAGTGTAGGGACGAGAAGCCAACGTTGAATTCCTTGGTGAAAATTGAAGATGATTCTCAAAACTACTCGCAGGGTGTAGAATACAGTAGTGATTGGGCAACTACAAACGGTATTAAACAAGAAATTTTGGACAAAGTGAAAAAAGAATTTTTTGAAGATGTCGTCGATAACTAATTGGTTACAAATGATGAGTTCGATTTAAGTGGGCAAAATAAATCAAGAATCAATATTGATGTGGCTCGTTAAGATGTTACTTTTTCGTGTAATACATGTAAGAAGACATTTAGACATAACAAAAGTCTCAAGAGTCACATCAAATCAGCACATGAAGGTATCAGAAGATATCCGTGCGATTTATGTGAAAAGCAATTCTCAATGAAAAGTCATCTCAAAATCCACAACGAATCGATTCATAATAAAATCGCATATGTCATATATATGAAAAGAAATTATCAACGAAGAGTCATCTGAAAATCCACATCGATTCTGTGCACCATGGCGTCAAATATCCATGTGATACATGCAGAAAAAAATTCACACGAAAGACTGATCTCAAAAAACACTTAGATTCGGTGCATAATAAAATCACCCATACATGTGATATATGCGGAGAGAAATTCACACAAAAGTGCTCTCTCAAAAGACACATAGATAGGGTGCATAATAAAATAACCTATAAATTTGACATGTGCGAAGAGAAATTCATACGAAAGACTGATCTCAAAAGTCTCAAAGTCTCAAAGCCCATGTTAATATGGCACATCGCTCTTAATTATAACTAATTATACCTAAAAAAAAGGATCAAATGTACGTTTAATTAGACCAAAAATCTCGATTGACAATGATCTACTGTTTAAAAAAACAATCTATTTAAAAGAATAATTTTAATTTATTTTATGGTGACTTCATCCAGTAACATGTTATTATGTTGTATCATACTCGAGGATAAAAATAATGCCCAATAAATAAATTTGTAATTGAAAAAGAATCATATTACATCTTTATAATTTTGGGCTGATCCATAATTCTTACTCCGCCCTTGTAATTTGTCGCGCTCACAAGATGATTATTTTTCTGTGTCGACAACAGCTACTAAGCATTAATTTCAATTCAGTTTAATCAAGTTTCAATTTCCGCCGTAAATTCCGCTACCTTTCCATTGCAAGTCTAGTCAAAAATAGGTCCATCATGTGTAGACATTCTTTGACTCGTGTAACCAATAAATAAATTAATAAATAAAAATAAATAATCAAAGTAAAGAGCTTGTAAAGGTATGAATGCGTGCGTAGGAGTGCGTAAAAGCTCTCGAGCTTGCACACCATCCACCTACAGATATACACAGCACAGTGTACAGCAGCCAGCAGCAGCTGCACACCATTGCGCGCAGCATCATCGCGCCGCTACACTGCCGCAGCAGCAGCAGCAGTCGCAGATCGCGCAAAAGCTCCCGCGCGCCGAAGAGCAAGAGAGCTTTCGAGTCGACGCGCCAGTGCGTCGTCGTCAGCCTCCGCGAAAACGCCGCGACGCCGCCGACGACGAATCGAGACGGGAACGGACTTGCCAAACGGTTTTTGTAATAAAAAGTACGAAGTATATGTAATATGTATCACGAAATCACTGCCAAAGCTCGTGGATAGGGGAAAAATTGTTTTGCCGATATACGGCGTGGTTTTTTTTCGTTCGTTATTTTCTTGATCGTTTTCGTTCGATCTTGCAAAATAAAGAAAGTGGCGCGTGTGCAATAATTGCCCCGCGAGTGCGCGAGTTTTTCTGCCGTAAATATTTGTCGATTGGTTGGTGTACTTGGATTGAAAATTTTTGTCGATTTATAATAAGCTAGTAATTAAAATTTTTCCGGCAAACCCAATAACACGCCAGTGGGTCTTGCAAGCTCTAGAGCTTCATGACCTCGAAATTATTCATTCGGATTTGATGTACGGAAATTTCGTGATCGTTACCGCGAAAGCTCTATAATACCGATATTCCGTGGAAAGCTCCAAGAAAGAAAAGCTCGAACATCTCGCGACAGCTGCACTTTGTCGCGTCGAGAGAGGAAGAATAAGAGAGGGACAAAAAAAAAGAAAAAAAGAAAAGTTGGTCACTCGTGTGTCAACTCGCGTGACAATCGTGTCTCTCTGCTACGACAAATTTTATCGCCGCGCAAAAGCGTTCTTCTTCTTCTTCTTCTTCTCATCTCGCGCGACTTTTTTTTGTCCCACGCGCGACGCGACGGCCACCCACCCTTTCGCCAAGATGTCATTATGATTTCAACGGTTTACGCGATTTTCGAGAAAAAGAAGCGAATAAAAAAGGACTCTTCGAGTGCATGTCATCAATTTTTCCTTCTCGTAAAATGTATCGTCGGCGCTCGCGCGCAATGTATCTTTGACCACAAAAATGCATTATGCAAGCGAATAATAAAGAGATGCGCTAAGAGGAGGTAGCAAAGAAAAAAAAATGCAAAAATCTCTTTCGAGCTGCTTCGGCGGAGGGTATAGAGAAAACGAACTTCAGCATTTATAAAGTGTCCCTCTTAATTATACTCGGTAGGATACTTTGATGGTTTTATGATTGCGCGACGAAATTTTCGCGTCCAAGTGGCCTTTGCCAAGGAGAGAGAAAGAGCGAAAGAGGGAGATAGTAGAGTAGCCGCGCGCGCGCTCTATTATAACTTGAAACTTCGTTATAAAGTGTGTTTCTTTATTATTTTTGTATTATAATACGTATACACAAAACAAAAACTTCGTCCCGGTGAAAGTATTATAATGTGCAAGCTACGCGATATTATTTATACTTTTAAGGGTGGTCACAAAGTCTTGATAATGATACTAAATACGCTCGAGTCGAAAAACTTTCGAATCGTACTAACGAAACAAAACGATTTCCGTCGCATACAAATTTATATCATTCAAACAGATGTGTGCGAGATATCGTTACAGCGCCGAAAAACAGCGCAATTATCTCTCCCCTAAATCTAATCCTCTACCGAAATTGTCGCCGTACGCGTGTTGTAACTTGCGTGTGTGTGTGTGTGTGTGTGCTTGGTCCTGCAGCTTTATCTTGGGCTATATAACGGGTTTCCGCGCGCGCGGTTGTACGCTCGAGGGCGATTTAAGCTCCTGCTGGCCGACCAGCAGTTGTAGCAACCCGAACGGTATAGCGAGAGTTTCTTAATTGGAAGACGTGACTTCTCGTGTGCTACTACTGCTACTGTTCGCCGACTTCCGGAAACTCGAAAGTCGAGAGAGAGCAAAGATTCTTCACGCGGAGCGGGCCGAATTGATTTCGAGCTTGCAGGTATTAAAGCTCCGTTGTTGTTGATGGCCTTGATTGAAAATCGACAAATTTTTTCTTCCGTTACGTATACTTCATTTCATTCGTCAATCAATTTCAGACCTTAATATTACTTTTTTTTTATTCAACAATGAGCCTTCTTCATAATGAAGTTCATAACTTTCATAAAATGTAAAAAAAAAGAAGAATAAGTGTCACAGTGTGCTTACATGTCGTGCGCCGCTGCTGTTGCGTGTGTGTATACGTATATATGCAGCGCAAGAAGTGAAATGTGAACGGAGCGGCGCAAGCAACATGAGTTTGCAGTAGGATTTTTTTCCTATATATTTAGTACGCGCCGCTCGGAGAGCGAGCCGTTTTAGCTCCTGCCTCCGAATGAGAATTTAGCCATGCAGCGGCGTATAAGGGAGGACTAAAGCCTTTTTATTATTACGAAGACGACGCACAACGACGACGACGACGACAAAGTCATCGCTTATATCGCTTACACGACGACGAGGTTTGTACGCTTTGTTTGTATACGTATTGCGAAATTTTGAGACGATATAAAACTTTGGCCGTGAAAACTCTTTTCTTTCTTTTTTTTTTGGAGAATCTTGGAAAAAACAAAGGAAACACAAGCAGGGCCCCCCATTAAAGCGGCGAGATACACACATGCGAGCGTAGGAATAAAGAATCGATTACGACTCGCGAGCCCAAGGACGAGCGAACGAGGAGAAAAAAAACGGGCACACACACACGCGCAGTTGTGTGCGCGAGTTGAGTCGGAAGCAAAAAAAATTAATAATACTAAAAACTGGGAAAAACGTAAAAGCTTCGGTTATAATAAGGACAATGGGAAAAAATGCGACCTTCGTATGATAACAATAAATACATCCATAACGCACAGAAGCGTGAATGGGTTATGGAAATGCAGAGAGGGGTAATAATGGCTGGGTGATAAATAATCCGCAAGTGCGACGGATCATTGTTATACTTATTTGGTTTGTTTAATCTTTTTTTTGTTTGTGTTAAAGGGCGTTTTGAGGCCATAAAAAATGACGTACTTGCTGAAAGGCAGAAAATATAATGGCTAATTACATGAATTATTATCATCACGACACACAATCGCTCCCAGTTATTTTTATAATAACGAAAAGAAAACACAGAAAAAATATTTCATTGCCTCCTACGCGCGCGTGACAATTTCATTCCATTACTTTTCTTCATTTTTTTCATCTTCTTCTTTTCTGCTCATGCGTGTTTGTATATACAAATGCAAAAAAAACAAAAAAATAGAAAAACAAAAACAAAATCGCAGCAGCCGTTACGCAGCGCCGCGTTCCAGGGCTATAAATGCTAATACGCCGTATACGTAGCCGAAGATACTCGCACTCACGCAGGCACAGTTGAATTTCAATTTTCGTACGCCTATATTATACGAATGAAAGAAAGCCAGAGATATAGAGATAGACAAAAAGAATAATCCGGGGCTTTTCACGGAATATATAGACGCGAATTTTTTCGAATATAATTGCTGACTCTGTATATATTGACAGAAAAAAAAGGAAGAAAATTTTCGTCGCACTTGGACGATTCGAGGACAAACGCACGAAAGTAACAACGTTATTTATAAAAAATAGTTATTCCCTTTTTTTTTGGTCCTATGGAGTAATGTAATTTGGAAAAAATATATAGCTAGAACAACGAAGACACGGTGTGCCGAGCTTTTAATTTCAAAAATAAAGTGTGTCGACGACCATCAGCGCGTAAATTCTTTTTCGTATAGCGAAGGGTACACACAAACTCGCTGCAAGTAAACAGTGGCAGCGTATATGGCAAAGATGCAAATTTTACATCGTACAAAATTCCGTATTTCAAGTCAACGAGAGACATAAAGCTGGCGTATTCACAAATAACGATATTCACATACAGCCAATTGAATTTTGTAGTGTCGATCATTGCCACTCGAAGATAGAGAGCTAGAATCGAGAGTATATCAGCCACTTTATGTGTTTTCCTCTCAACGCTTCTCGATTGCGCATATATAATTGTAACCGTTATCGACTTTTAATTGCTGATCTTATCGTGTATTACATAGCTACTGAATACATAATCGATCATAAGTATGAATAATAATGACGCTCAAGGCTGTAGGTCTAAAATTGCAGTCTTGATGGGCTTTGTTTGCGTGCGCGCACGATTTCGCAAGTATAAGCAAAACGAAGAAGACGACCATCTCTCTCCCTCTTTGTTACAGTGTTCCCTTTTGGAATCGCTACGGCACCGAGCAAATTATCATCGATAACCTCGCTAGGGCGAACGCGCAAAAAACTTCCTGGAGCGCATGGTCTCGTATGCGTTATACGTACTTTCACCCGCTATTTACCATTGCACGAGCGTGACCTTATACGCGCGCGTCTCATTTGCAGCGACCCTTGCGACCTTGATACACAATTGTGCGGATACGCGAATCGCTTTATGGCACACTATTGCGGCAATACCTCCTATTTAGCAAAAAAAGCGCATCGTTATTCTGTGCTTTGTGGCGCGCATCTGTCCCTTGGCGCAAGGGTCCCTCCGAAGGTGGTATATAAAGAAGCCACCGTCAGCTCGAAAATCATCAGTTCGCCACAAGCGAGTCAACCGGACGAATCATCCTCTCATCTTGAAGCAGCCAAGCAACCCCAACCCTAGCCATCATCATGATGAAACTCGTGCTCGTCGCTCTCTGCATCGCCGCGGCCCAGGCCGGCTTCCTGGCCCCGGCAGCCGCCCCGATCGCCTACTCTGCGCCACTGGCCTACTCGGCACCAGCGACCTACATCAAGTCCGCCCCGCTGGCCTACTCGGCGCCTCTGGCCTACGCCGCCCCGGCGCCCATCATCAAGGCCGCGCCCCTGGCCTACTCGGCGCCACTGGCCTACGCCTCGCCGGCCATCTACAAGACCTACTCCGCTGGACCCATCGTCAAGACTTTCCTGTAAGACGACCGTCGAATCTCTCAGTGTTATTTTTTGAGTAGCGTCGATGTTCTGTAACATCGTGTATACGTCGATGCCAACGCAAAAATCCATTTGTATTTTATAAATATATTTAACGAGAAAATGTTCCTCGCATCATCATCGTTTTGGATCGATAAAAACAACAACAACAAAAAAATAACTTCATCGTAGATGTGTGTCTGTAAAAACGCGTTATTTTCATCGGTAATTTTGATAATAAAAACAACAACAAATTTTTTCACAAACTTATCTCGCTCGTTTTGATTATTATTATTCGAATAATCCTTATTTTCCAATTATAATTTGTTAGTGTCCGTATCTTAACTTGAATATTGTCGCATTCTTTAGCAACAATTGTTATAATGGTTGAAAGAGTGAGTCGCATAGTCGAATTATGAAAGTTCATAGTTTTTTTTTCAAAAACTTCTACAAGTCGTTCTTAAAATTACTATGTTTGATAGTAACTATTATTCTATATCGTCAACATTTGGTATTTGTTGAAGAAATGTGTAAATATTAATATTTGTAAATCCGTTTTGTGTTAAAATCAAATTTATCATCATCAAAGCTTTTTGATCCAATCAACAGATGGAGTATTGTAAATCCGCAAGTCGCAAAACAAAGTTTTCTAAGGTATATATACACAAATTTTTGCAGACACATAGAACGTTGTGTCTCACTGTCCTTTAAGCAGTATTTTACAATACGCGCCAAGTCCTCAACATCTGTGTGTGAGCGTATATGTGTTCGCAAAAGGCCCCACAGGACACCTATACCTGTATACATATCCCGACCGTGCCATGCGCCCAAATCTCTTGACTATAAAACGAAGCGTTTGTATAATGAATGTATTCGCTAGAGAGTATTACGATATACAGTTTCTCTCTCTCTCTCTTTTTCTCGTATATAATAGCGGGTCTCTCTCTCGCGCGCCGCTACCCATGGTCAATGCAACTGCGCCGGCTCGTTTCGGCTTGCGGCCTATACACACACACACACTCACACAGATGTGTTCAAGGTCACGAAGAGATATTCAAGAGGTTTATCGAGCGTAAGTCGACTTCTGCTGCTGATGCTGCATAGGTGGGACGTGTTGTGTGTATATATACATTGGTATACATTGCTTACATCAGCGAAAAATTGACAGGCAGCAGTCAATGTTCCAGCGACTACTTCAGCGATATATCGGAGCTCCCTTTCCTCTCGAGCTTTTGTTGTATTATTTTTTTTTGCTCGTTCTTGCTTCAATAGCATTACTCGTGCGGATGCTGCTGCTACCGGGATCGATTTAAGTTTTTTTTCGAGGGTGCTACTGCTGAAAATTAGCACGATTTTCGATACATAATTATTCGTAGATTAAAATAACGTCGAGGAAGAAAATAAATTTAACGAACATTCAAGCGTTTACTTTTTCATAGCTGATTTATTTCGATAAAGTATGAAAAATATTATAAAATAAGTAGCGTAAAATACAAAAAAATGATTACGGAAATTACGATTATCATACGGACACGATCTTTCGCTCATCGAGCTTGCAGCTTGGACGTCAAAAGCACGATGTGCCTTACGCGAATCGATATTCCTCTCAGTAGTGTCTGTATCCCAACGAGGAGTAAGCCAGAGGCAGACCATAGGCGGAGCTGTAGGTGTAGGGCGAGTAGGCGCTGTAGGACACATGGGCAGCCGGTGCAGCGGCATAAGATCCGTAGTAGGCCGAGTAGCTGGTCGGTGCGGCGGCCGAGTAGACGACTGGGCTCGCTGAGTAGCTGAGAGGCACGACACCGGCGTGGGCACAGGCCAACAGAGCGGCGAGCAACACTACGAACTTGTACATGATGTATATTGGGCGGAAGAGTACTTGTTACACTTCGTAAAAACGAACTGATGCTGGCTCGATGGCGGCAGGCTCAATTTATACGAAACTAAAAATCGTCAAAATCCTACGCAGGAGGTGGTGGAATAGTAGTGCTCGACTATTATGACAGCGTACTGATGAAATAATCGCGCGTATAGACAAAAGGTATGCAAAACGACATGTGTATACAAAAATCTCCGTAACGATCATATTGCGTGTACTTTGCATTTCGCGCGCGCGCGCCTCGCCAAGGTTGTAATATCATCTTGTGAAACGTATATAAACGTGAATTGCAGCAGCCCGAAATTCGCGCGCTATCAATCATTTCGCGTATTGTGTTTTTCATTCGACGTAATATACATGGTAAGCAATGATGGCGCGGATATATACATTAAATTGATTCTGTTTTTCGATTCGTTTCGTCGATAGATCGATTAATTATACCTGTGAGCAACGCCGTTTCTCAAAGTTGCACGAAATAAATATCCATCTCGTTTTGCAGGCAGTGCACGCGCGCCTGCCTGAACTGGCAGAGCGAAGTGCGACCTTGTACCCAGATACCGATCAATTAGGCTTTGGGATTACCTCATATTATAGATCCTATTGGAGATCAATTTTTCCCTATACCCGCAATTATCATGGTTGAAAAAAAGGCTAAGTACCGTGCTCTACTTATGGTATAATAGCGCGTATCATCATCGATGTATAAAAAGTAAATTCGAGCGATTCGCTATTGTCGCAATATATACATACGAAAATATGCGAGCTCCGCGAGCCGAGAGTTACGTAAGCTCGGGGATCGATTTTTTTTATTTCAACCTTTTAATTCTCGACGGGTGGCTGCTGCCGCTGTGTATACCATACGTTCCTTTTTTCCGTTTCTGTATATCCTTAGAAAAACAAACGATCTGTATCAAGGACGGGATAATAAACGTAAAAATGCGCTATGCTCTTACAACAACAATGACTATGAATCCCCTCTTGGCAAAATAATAAAAAAAATATATCAGAAAAAAAGAGAGGTAGACATTCGACGGAAAGCGGAACTCGGGCCAGCTTGCAAAATTTATTTCTCTATAAATATTCGGATACAGGAGGCATCGAGCATCAGTTAGCTCGTACCAAGCTTACAGCAAGCGCTACTTACGACCTCTACTTCTCGATCTATACCCGATACCCAAGTCATCATGTACAAGTTCGTAGTGTTGCTCGCCGCCTTGGTGGCCTGTGCCCACGCCGGAGTTTTGCCTCTGAGCTACTCGGCCAGTCCGGTCGTCTACTCGGCCGCCGCCGCACCGACCAGCTACTCGGCCTACTACGGATCTTACGCCGCTGCACCGGCTGTGGCCTACGGTGCCTACGCGGCTTCGCCCTACACCTACAGCTCCGCCTATGGTCTGCCTCTGGCTTACTCCTCGTTGGGATACAGGCACTACTGAGAGGAAAGGAATCAGTGAAAAAGAGATCTATGTGAGAAAATAAAAAATGTTTCACGATCCATGGAATAGATTATATGTAAAAGGTGCATCTTAATAAACTTTATTTATTTTTATTCATAAATACGACTTTTCTATTGTCTTAATTTCTCATATCCTTACCTTGACGAATAAAAACTAGGTTTTAAATTATACACATTCAACCTCAAGTGGAGTAAACGGGATAAATGAAAAGAAAGCGAGAGCGTGATTTATATTCGTTGAAAAGTTTATTACAAAAAATTAGTACAAAAATCCATGGCAGCGCTTTTCATAAATATATTATATTATATAATAAATGGCAGGCACACAACATTAAAAATTATTCATGAAAAACAATCGAGCCGTGCACAATCCGCAATCATTCGTCGATTACCAGAGACCCAGACTGAGACGAGGATCACTCTTGATGACCGTCGAGTACTGGGGCACTCCGATGCTCTTGACCACGGAGATGGGCTGTGGAATCGTCGAGATGGTCTTGACGTAGACGGGCGACTGCGGCACCACCGTCTTGACGTAGGAGATCGGCAGGCTCTTGACGATCGGTATGGGCTGAGGAATGCTGATGGGCGCCGGGATGGTCTTGACCACAGGCACTTGCGGCAGAATCAGGGGCTGCGGCGCCTGTACGTACTTGACCACCGGCGCGGAGAGAGCCCACGGATCGACCGACGAGATCACGGGGCTGGAGATCGGCAGGATTCCGGCACTGGCGGCGGCGACGCACATGAGAGACAGGATCGCGAACTTGTACATGTTGGCGGTTGTGTGTGGTGGTGGCTTTGGTTTGACTGTGTGTAAGTGACTGCGAGAAAAGACTAGCGAAAACTGATGTCAGCTCGAGTTTTCGCCTGCGCTTATATAGGAGCTCTAAACGCGCCGCGATTAGTCAATCGACCTATAGAGCAAGGCTTTTCTTTGTATATATGGGGCGAGCGCCGCGCGCGCACCATAAACGCCACCGATAATACCCACCAGTAGATATTTAATTATGTGTATTACTTTATAGTTATTGATGCAAGTCGAGAGAAGATTTACACTTTACGGAATTCAGGAGGAGGAGGAGGAGTGCATGTGCGTGTGTGTGTGTGTGACACAACGAGCGCGCGAATTATCATAATATTTTATGTAGCGTTTGAGCAATCGCACGTCGTGTGAACGAGATTAGCGCTCGCGAGGATGCGAAAATGCACCGATCCGATTTTTCGGAACTTTTCGTGGCGCCTCCCTATAACCACCGAGAAATCGGAAATTAAACCTAGGCGGTTTTCAAGTACACGCGTCAATTAACAAAGACATTGGCACTCGATTGCAAACTCTCAAACCCATGGGGCTTAGATGACTGTAGACTATCTAGTTTTTGCATCATCCTTGCGCCGAGTTACATCAAGTGTCTACTACTGCTCTCTCGTATAGACTCGATTTCAGCAATATGTGCAGCGCATTGCATTGCCATTGCCATAAGCCGATCGAAGTTTCTGCGGTGTCGAAGATGCGAAACGTAATATTATCATTATTATATGTTAAACTTCGTGAATTAAATGTAAATGGCGGTAATATGATAATCAATGAAGTTTATTGATTAATTTTTCTATTCGTTTGATGGTCGATAAGTAGAGAAGCACGTGGAAATGGGAGAAAAAAATTATGTACATATAAAAAAGCCGTAGAAGTTGTATGAGAGTAAGTTGCGACACTTGATTTTATCACTAAAATGAAGATTCTTGCATTATATACGTATTTTTAAATATTTGGATTTGTTTCAATTCAAAAGTTTGAAATTTACTTATACGATTGTAATGAATATAAATAATTTTAACAATGTGATGTTGGGGCTGCAAATATGTTGTTTAATTGGCGCCCAACGTGGGGTTGATTTTGCTACACGTAACAAGCATCAATTTTTGAAGTCAGTATATCATAGCTGAGTATTAATTTTCACGTTATATTAATTTTAATAATATCAATTTTCACTGCTTGTAACCATTGAATAGTGATGCAGATGTATAACAATTGAATAAATTTTTCACTATACCAATGTACATCTTTTTCCAAAGAAATTCGTAGAAACAAATTTGATCAAAAAACATACACTCATTAATATGTGCTCATTGGATGAGCCATCACTTCAATACCTATAAATCATTAAATAATAAGTGCAGAAAAATATGATGAAAAATTGTAACCCAAACTTGTCGAATACATCAAAAATTTTATTTCAATACATTTTAATTGCCAACAAAGCATAAACAAAGATAAAAACAGTTTTCATAAATAAAGTAATTTGCAATAACGTTTTTAAAGGCAGTATTTAAATGGCACTTGAACTTTTCTGAGTCTGTCCTTTTTTCATTCAATGACAAACCGAAAGTACGTCCATTAAAAAAAAATGCTTACGCTGATATCGAAGAGTATCTAGGAGAAAAAGAACGAAGCGCGCTTACTTCGACACAGCTATCGGCGTATCGGCGATAGTGCCGATGAGGGGAGTCTGTCCCGACAGGGACAGAGGCTGAGCCCAGGGATTGGCGAGGTACACGTTCTGACCGGAGCTCTGAGTCACGGTTCTGACCAGCGGTGACTCTTGAGCCACCGACACGGTTCGGACCACGGGCGACTCTTGAGCCAACGACACCTGCTGCAGCACGGGCTGGGCCAGGGTCACCGTCTGTACGGGGCTAGACACGGTGCGCACGATCGCCGCGGGCTGTTGCTGAGCCACGAGGATCTGATGATGTTGATGTTGATTCTGATGCTGATGTTGCTGGGTCGTCGTGACGTACTGCACGGCGGGCTGTTGACGGACGACCTGCTGGGTGACGTACTGCACGGGTTGCTGACGGACCAGCTGCTGCTGCGTGACGTACTGCACGGGTTGCTGTTGACGGACGACCTGCTGGGTGACGGTCTTGGTGAGCACGGGGGCGGCCTCGGTCGTCACGGTGATCGGCGCCGGGGTCGTGCTGATCGTGCGCACGATCGGAGCCGGTGCCTGGGCCAGAGTGTACTGCTGCACCACCTGGGGCTGCTGGTACGACACCGTTCTGATGAGCTGAGGCTGTTGCTGCTGCACGACGATCGGTTGCTGTCTCACGACCTGCTGCTGCGTGACGGTCCTGACTACGGGAGCCTCGGTCGTCACGGTCCTGGTCACGACGGGAGCCGGGGCTTGAGCCAGACTCAGTTGCTGCAGCTGCAGAGGCTGCTGCTGCTGCTGCTGGTACGTCCAGGTCTGCTGCACCGGTGCAGCGGACACGGTCCTGATGACTTGGGGTTGTTGTTGTCGCACTACCTGTTGGGTGACGGTACGGACCAGGGGAGCCTCGGTGGTGGTGACGGTCGTCACGGGCACCGTTCTGATGACCTGCGGCGCCTGAGCCAGGGTCAACTGTTGCTGCTGGTGACCAGCCCAGTGTCCGACCGTACTGTACTGTACCGGAACGGTGCGAATGATCTGCTGCTGATTGTTACTGATCGTCCGCAGAGCCGGAGCTTGAGTCAGGTAGAGCTGCTGGCCACCGTACAGATGCTGATGACCCGACAAGAGATGCACCGGGACGCTGTTCTGGTTCAAGTAGTAGGCGCGGATGTCGGCCGCCGGCGACAGAGTCAGCTGTTGCGTCTGCAGGGGCTGGCCGTAGGTCACGTAGGTGCCTCCGCTGAGCAGTTGAGTCGACGAAGCCGAGGACGACAGCTCGTTCTCGTTCTCGTTCGGTGTTTGCTCGACGTTGGTGACTTGCTCGTCAACGGATGATGCCGATTCTGCCGATCCTACTGCTGCTGCTGCTGCTGCCGCTGCCGCTGGTTGCTGCTCGAAACGATTTTCAGCCGAGGTGGAGGCGGCCGCCGCGTGATCGCCGTGCGGCAGGGCGCGAGCCACGACGGCGCACAGAGCCAACGAGAGTATCGCAAATTTCAACATCATCGTTGTTGCACGAACAAATATTAATAAATACTGACGAACGACGCTCTCTTCGGCTCCTGAAGAGAGGATCTGATGCCTAGGCGACTATAGAGATCGACTTTATATACCGGCGTTAATCCTCCTTTGATAATTATAATTGCAAGGATTTTTGATTTTTTCTGTTCTTAAAAAAAAAAACTAAAAGCAAAAAACCACACCAAAGAAAAAATGTTCCGCATTAGAAAAATTTGCATATCGCTCGATAGATACGCGCTGCGTTGCTCCGCTGCCTGAATGACACTCGGCTGACGCGGGATTAATCGAGATAGATAGAATAAAAATTATCAGCGCATTCTGTGTATGTGTATATAACGAATGAAAAACTTGGATCTAATTTTTTTTATTATATAAAGCACGCGTTCGCGATATGCGTTGGCCCATTTCGAGACGATGAGTTCATTACTTGATACAAAAAAAATACGAATCCTCTTTGCGTGACAATAGAGGATGCATTACACGAACGATATGCAAATCTATACTCCGCATGATTATTCATCGCATTCGCGTTAATCCATCGATCATCGTCATATTGTATACACCTATTTACGGTCCAACGAGAAACAACAAAAATAAACAAAACAAACTTTTTGTATCATACGAGCGTCGAGTTACATCAGAAAATTCGCGCGTAGTCTACTATACACGTTACTAAATGTGCGCGTATATAAACACACGCGTGCAATTTCCACTTTCTAAACAAGGCATAGTAGCGTCGAGACTAGCGCATGGCAGCGCATAGTGGGCATGCCACGACCGCATGCACTGTGTTCTATATGGTGGCACCATTAAGACGAGATCGTGCACTTGACCGATCTCTTTTTGTATCCCATATAGCTGCGTTGCATCACTCGCACCTTATTACATCAGGTATTTGCGCGTGCAAGAGCGTCGTCTAATGACATTTTTGTTTGGTACTTAAGAAGGCGCGTATATAGGCTAATAAACGCGACTACGGAGAGGAATTATCGCAAGGAAAAATCATAATTGCCCACGCGCTGGCCGTTCTTCTGTCTTTCTCTCGATCTGTATGTAGGTATTAATTGAGACATGAAAAGGAAAGAAAGGAAAGAGAAAAAAACTCGAAATAGCGCGAACGTTACAAATGCACTGCACATAATAGCTGCAGCCGTAATAAACCCGCTCTCTTTTTTTCGCAGTGTAGCGAGGCGCGTCCTTGATTGTCACTACGCGTATCAATGTGTGTTATAATATACCGTGTAACGTCTCTCAAACCTGTCGGCTGCGCGTAAAAGACAATTCCTCGCCCAGCCGAGTAAATGTGCATATAATGCACGTGCTGCAGGATAATTGATATCGAGTATCGTTTGCCTGCTGCTGCCCTGAGCCGGGCCCGGGCGAAAAGTAGTCAGCCTTGTGGCGTACTGCGGACCTCGCCCGTTTTCGCTTTTCGCGCCGGCTGGCACTCACTGCCAAATTACCGCGGTACACAATGCAGGTAAGCTGATAAAGTGCGCGCTTCGAAGGGGTATAAAAGCCGCGGCGAATCGTCGCAAATGCATCAGATTCACTTCTTCCCTCGAGTCGAAGCAAGCATCTCTCAGCTCACCTCACCTTACCTTCTACCAGAAGTCAACCCAACTCAATCAACATGTTCAAGTTCGTGATCTTCGCTGCCTGCCTCGCCGCCGCCCAGGCCGGCTACCTCACCGGTGAACACGCCCTGCCCGTGGCTGCATCGAGCTACTCGGCTGGTTTGGCCTTACCAGCGGCCGCCCCGTTGGCCATCGCTGCGCCCGCGGCCATCAGCAGCTACTCGACCTACGCCGCCTCGGCCCCGATCATCCGCAGCTACTCCGCCCCGGCCATCCGCACCAGCAGCTACGCTGCACCGGCCATCCGTAGCTACTCCGCACCGCTCGCTATCGCCGCACCGGCCATCCGCAGCTACTCGGCTCCTCTGGCCATCGCTGCCCCGGCCATCCGTGCCCAGCCTCTTGCCTACGCCTCGGCCTACTCCGCCCCGGCTAGCTACAGCAGCTACTCGACCAGCTACTCCGCACCCACCAGCTACTCCAGCTACTCGTCTCCACTGTCCTACAGCAGCTACTCCGCACCAGCCAGCTACTCCACCTACTCGGCTCCTCTGTCTTACGCCGCCCCCATCGCCGCCGCTCCTCTGGCCTACGGCAACGGATGGTAATTTCGCTCGAGCTCGAGGGAATAACCCAACGATAGCAGAATCATCGACTTCTAATATATTTTTTTTTCTATCAATCGAAAACCAATACAGTGTGTGAAGATTTTGTATTATATACAAGCATGTGATCGTCATTTTTTTTTTAATTCGATTGTTTTCGTTTGTAACATCATCGACGAATGATCCAATCAGGAATAATAAAGTGTTGATTTTTTTATAAAAAAACAAAATTATCTTTTTCTTATGTGAGCATGACCCAACTAAAATATTCTATACACTAACATATCCTGTCGACTCGACGCGTCATCCACAGCACTTGTCACTGAAAAATTAAAAGTTTTCGTAACAGGCCAGAATCAACGGTTTTAGATTTTTATAAAAGTATTAAATTTTAACTGTATCCCTGATGAAAATTGTTTCTTTCCAGAAAGATTAATACAATTTTATAAACGTCTATAAACTTTTATTATTTGATATAAACATACGGATTCGAGACTCTCATAAAAGTTAAGAAAAGTTTATAGAAGTTTATAAAATTTTATAAGAGTTGATAACATTTTAAAGTTTTTTTCATTTTCCAGTTACAATAATTTCAACTTTTATAAAAAGTTATGAACTTTTCAGAAAAATTATTTCATGTTTATAAAAGATAATAAACGATAATACAAGTTTATATATCTACTAGATATATTAACAATAGATCTACTAGAATTCTCAGCATATGTCTGTATGTGCCATGTGTGGATGGCATTAAATTTGTTCGTATAATAACTGTCAAACGGACAAAAATATCGAGATGAGGTTGGATTTCTTTGGTAGGATATGTGCGCCGAAAGGAGTATCAAACAATTATTAAAGAATTCATTAATTAAAAAAAAAAATTGATTCATATCTTCTATAAATTTTATCAAATTTTATTAAATTTTGCACATTTTTAATTTTTTGTTGATTCAAAATTAAAAAATTCGTAGTTGTTGAAGAAACATCAATAGAATAAATGTGAAATTTTATATTTTAATAAAAGTATGAAATTGTAAATTTTTTACGATTAAAAGTATAAAACCATTGATTCTGACTTTTTTCGACTAATTTTCATACCTTTGATATGAGTGTGTATTGATTAATAAAATTTTGAATGGTATTATTTGTTAATGACTCAAAAATAAATTGAAATTTAAATGAGTAATATATGAAAATTTATTAAGTCTAAACTAATACAAAATTCGAATGATTATCATCTATAAAAGTTACAATAAAAATGTTAATACTCGTTGTTGTTGAGATACTTCAAGGCGTAATAAGGCGTCGTAGGCACGCCATAAGAAGTGTGAGGAAGTTGAGCCTGGTACTGCTGTTGCTGCTGGTACTGCTGCGGACTCGGATGAACCGAGAGGGCCTGGACCACACCCTGAGGAGCCGCCGTCGAGTACAATACGGCCGACGGCGCAGAGCCGTAAGCCACAGACTTGTAGATCTGCTGGGCCGGCTGGTTGTGCGCGAAGTAGCCGTTGTACTGCTGCTGCTGCTGGAGCAGTTGCTCGTTGTACGAGTTGCCGTCGTAGCTCGTCTGTGCGAAAGGCGACGAGGCGTAGAAGAGCTGCTGCAGTTGCTGCAGGTGCAGCGGTGACGCGTCGGTGGTGGCAACTGCGAGACTCGTACACACGAGGATGGCGAGTTTCAACATGATGCGTGTGTGTGATTTTTATGTATACTGTTGGCGAGTCGAAAATTAGAGAACTAATGCTGCCTCTTGGATTTTTTTTGGCTTCTTATATACTATGCAAAAATAATTTAAAATGAGAAACGTTCGGCAATGCCGTAGACGCAAGTGGGAGTTGAGAATGTAGATCAATTAAATTATAGATTTTTACGGTGGATCATGGAGAGAAAGTTCGGAGTCATTGTGTTGTTGCTAAGAAAAAAAAAGACGCACGGACATACATTTTTATCTCGAGGCTGCGTGCGTAATAAAAACGAATCTATCATTAAACGTATTTGCTCGTTTGCAAAAGGTCAACACTCTTACTAATTAATAAAATACAGTAGAACCAGTTAATTTAGAAACTCCGGGGACCAACATAGAAGTTTCAAAAATAACAGGTACATTACAAAAATAATTCAATTTACATGAGTTTGATATTTATTCGATTTGAGGAAATTTGACTTTTCTGGTAATGTTTTTAGGGTTATCACAGGACGTGCGTTGACAATTTTCATTCATTGATTTAAATCGATTGTGTTTTCATCTCCATTTATCTTTTACGAGCTATTTTAGATAACTTTTTAAAAATGTTGTCTTTCATTTCAGGTATTATTAAAATAAGAATTTAAAAGAATTTTATTTAAGTTACAGTATCGATTTATTAATTTATTTTTTTCATAACTGCTCAAATAAATATAAGAATTTATTTTAATACAAACACGATCAAAAAAACTCAAGGTACTAAAATGTTAATATTTTGATTGTTAATGAAAGTATTAATACTGATTTTCTTCGTTGATTGTTCGCAAAATTTTTAAAAATTCGATCAAAATCTAAGCTATTCTCTACCGCTAGATGACGAATACTTTTATCTGTAAAACTGTAAGTAGCCAAATGAAAATATCATTATAAGAAAAAACATTGCTACACATATTAGTCAATATTTTCGTCGAACTGTCATCTAATCAATTGGTTATTGTTGTATACACAATCGAATACAATATGTTAGAAAAATGCCGCGATCATGCTTAACTGTAATTTCGTTTTTCAAAGCGGAAAATGCTAGTTTGCCGTTTCGAAAAATTTTCGCGATATTATTGACTTTAAACTACCACCAGTAGATAGCGAGTGCCTTTATCTATAAATCTGCAAGTGGTAAGGTGAACATAATGGTATAAGTCAAAGCACAATAATGTAATAAATTGTAAAAATACGGCTGTAAAAAAGTAACTGGAGATAAGAATGTCCTCAAAAATATTTAAGTGCTACATTTCCTTTTAAAATTTAAAAAAAAATCTATTCCCTAAACAATTTTAAAACTAATTAAAAAATACTCTGTACAGAATCGACCGCATAAACTTCCACATCTCTTCCCATTTCCGAAATTTCAAGCCCTCATCGCGAATCGTTCGTTTACATACACATGTGTACATCCAAAATTTCGTCGCGCGACGATCCCATTATCGGCCGATTAAGATGCCTCTTCGCGCGCATAAATCTTCTTTCCTCTCTCATCTTAACGCGCGATTCAACACCTGTAAAACTTAATTATTCCTCGCTCCCCGTGTATATATATGTAATTTCTACGTATACATACGCGCGTACCTTGATTTACAGCTTTACCGCGCGCACGTCGGTAGCTGTTGCGGCGTATAAACGTCGTACAACGTTCGTAACGCTCGTTACGATCGTGCCTCGATCTCGCCCGTGTTGGAACGCGGCGTAATCCACGCGCGCGAGCGAGATTCATTAATAAGAAAGCCGCATAAATAACGAAGCCCCGTGTATTCGCTGCTGTACATATGAAAGCCAATCTGTCAAACTTTGTAACAAGTGCAGCTTTTTAATTCATCCGAGGCTGATGTATTATAGGATATGTAATATGTAATGCGTATTAAGCACGCGTTGCACAAATAAAAAAGGTGAAAAAAAAAATAAATATACAACACGAGTCATCCGAGGAGGGGCGAACATTTTTTATATCGTTTTTAAAACTTTTTGGGCGCGTGTGTCCGTACAGTCCGGGCGCAGCGGTGGCGCATCTGGCACAAGGCTAACCGGTACACAAAACCTACATAACGCACACGAGCGCATACGGCATTGTGTCCACGGGGGCAGGTGAAATGTACTTATAACATTCGCGAGCATTACTCGATCGCCAAGGTCCGTCGATCGTACGCGGCGCGCGAGCGAGAAGAGAGAGTCACGTGAGTGCCTCGCGGGACACATGCACATTATCGAGGAGATAAAATGAGGTAGCCGCGATCGTTTTGTGTCCCTTCTTTTATTTTTATTTTTTTATTTTCAAATGAATTTCATCTTTAATTAACGGACGATTGATATTTGCCGTTTTTGTAGGGTATTGAACGAATAGCAATGACGTCATGATGTATCGTATGTGCAAGACTAATACATAAATATTTTGCGTATATTCGCTCCGAAAAAATTTATGATCGATCCGTGTGTTTACAATGAAAAAAATCGAGTACAGTGAACTTTTGGATCGGCAAGTGCGGTTGTAATTGAATTTCGAAGAAAGTATTGGAAAATTAAAATTCAAATGTTTTTTAAATTTAGGCATAGATTTACAACGCATAGGCATACATTTACAATTTACACTCGGCAACAAAATTATCGCAACAAAAAAATTCATCGAAATTTTGTCGATTTTCAAATGCTTCTATCTTGGGCTAGATTTATCGTATCGACACGCTTTTTTTTTAATTTCTTGGGAATTTTGTCCTCTTTAAATCCATATAAATTGAGATAGGATTTGAGTTAATTAGTTAGTTAATGTTAAGTTACCAGTAGTATTTGAGCGTGACCCTAAAAATTACTGAAAAAAAATGACTGTTTGAACGTGTACCAGTACCACAGTGATTTTTTTATCGAAATCTAACATACGCCATCGCAAAGTGCTCTTTTTAACGAGTAATTTAAAAAAAAAAGACCTCTCTACGATTTTTTTAACGCCCTGTAGGTCGATTTGAAGGTACGGTTTATGTACGCAAAATGCCCAGAAAATCGTCTCGATTTCTGCTAAATGGGGAATTTTACGTACTTTAAATGGTACCTTCAAATCGACCTACAGGGCGTTAAAAAAATCGTAGAGAGGTCTTTTTTTTTAAATTACTCATTAAAAAGAGCACTTTGCGATGGTGTATGTTAGATTTCGATCAAAAAATCACTGTGGTACTGGTACACGTTCAAACAGTCATTTTTTTTCAGTAATTTTTAGGGTCACGCTCAAATACTACTGGTAACTCAACATTAACTCAAATCCTATCTCAATTTATATGGA